TGGGCGTAGGTTTGGCATGGACGGAGGTGGCGTGTCCCCACCAATATCAGCGATGACCAAATAGTCACCACCAATAATTTGACCGCCTCCACTAAAAAACAACAAGCCATTTATCATCTGGTTATCACTGAGGTGCAGAAAGGGTTAAATGAAGTACTCTTCACAGGTCCTACCTCCGTATATGGCCGGTGTGATTGGCTGCACATGCTGTCACGGGAGACTCGCCTAAGACAAACTACGCTGGTTGTTTGCAGCGCCAAAGGAGAACGTTCCAGTCGTATGCAAGACTCCTGTGTCTGCAATGTGACGCATGGGGCCAAAAGCGAGTGACTGTAACCGAGGGTCCTGAGAGGATGAAGCTACCCATATAAAAGCTGCACATGAAGAGAGGCCGACGGCCATGAACTCGAGAAGCTTTTTCATTAACACCACCGTCACTTCACATTACAACAGTCACGTTCCCCAAAAACCAACCCACACACCTCTGGTCGTCACAATAAAAGCACTGCACACCACATCCTGTCTGACTGTCACCAAAATAAGTGTCGCACAAAAGTAGTTTACACGAGGATGGAGGCAAAAAGAAAGCATCCTTGAGTTAATCCATCTAAATAAACAGTCAAATGGAAATATCTATAACCCTGCCATTCAACTGTTTTGCCTTCTTGTGAAGATTGTTGCAAAGAGAAACAATTCAACTTGATTAACCCCAGAACCATGCGCACTGCACTGTACTCCGTGACTGTAAAGGAGGGGAAAAACGACTTAATCGGATCCTTTTCAACATGGTTTAATGTAAACTTTCCTTCGGCACAAACTTTAGTCGCACCAATCTAACGAGACAGAGCCTGGATTTGTATTCTGAAAGTTTAAACATGTTTAAAACGGAAATATGCGCGACACGTCTTAAAATTCACACCTGCTCAATTATTATGGAAATTAAAATAACAAGGTGAATAACATAATTATTTTAGGCACAGACAACATCCCCACACTTTTGAGAAGCGTGCCTGCTACCAGTTACAAATTGTGAAGGGGAACGATTTTCACAAATGGCAAGAACAAAAAATGAACCGAGAACAACACAAATTCAACAGCGCCTCAGTGCACTGTCACAGATGGCTATTGAATCTCAGCTTGTCAGGAATCTGGACTTTGATGATGTTGTAAATGAATTTACTAATAGAAAGACCAGAAAGCAGTTTTTCTGAAGGCAAAAGAGGAGACCAACAAGAGGAAACAAAAGGAAGAGGAAGGAGCCAGGAGTCAAGACGAGGAAGGAAACAAGAGACAAGGTGAGGAAGGAAACAGGAGACAAGAGGAGGAAGGAGATAGGGGACAATAGGAGGAAGGAGACAGAAGACAAGAGGAGGAAGGAAACAGGAGACAAAAGGAGGAAGGAGACAAGAGGAGGAAGGAGACAGAAGACAAGAGGAGGAAGGAAACAGGAGACAAAAGGAGGAAGGAGACAAGAGGAGGAAGGAGACAGAAGACAAGAGGAGGAAAGAGACAGGAGACAAGATGAGGAAGGAGACAAGAGGAGGAAGGAAACAGGAGACAAGAGGAGGAAGGACACAGGAGAGAAGATGAGGAAGGAAACAGTAGACAAGAGGAGGAAGGAGACAGGAAACAACATGAGGAAGGAGACAAGATGAGAAAGGAAACAGGAGACAAGAGGAGGAAAGAGACAGGAGACAAGAGGAGGAAGGAGACAGAAGACAAGAGGAGGAAGGAAACAGGAGACAAAAGGAGGAAGTAGACAAGAGGAGGAAGGAGACAGAAGACAAGAGGAGGAAGGAGACATTGTGCCCAGGGGCCCCTGCAATGATAATCTAGCCCGGATTTTGCCAATTTTGACCGACTTGACCGTGATTTTGACTTTGTCTCGACGATTTTGATATATCAAAAGTACCGGCTCGACCGTGGGAGCTGTGCTGTTTCTTTCCTAAGCGATCGGATTGACCACGGGGAAGTTATTCACAAAAAACATCATAACATCTTTCATTTTGAGTGTGTGCCAGTCTCAGTTCTCATAATTTATCAATTCAACATGTACACTGATAAATTAGATGGCAGGCCAGCTAAAGAGGCATGTTTACTTAAGCATGGCCGCTATCTTGTGGCAGCAGGCAGGCTCCTTTTTGACATTTCTTCAGGGATTTTCTAGGATTTATTTTGTTAGCTTATATCATGGAGACACATCTGGGTAAGGGCTGGAGACGGGGTTTTTGCCCTCCAGCTGGTGTGGATGTGTGCAGTTACCCAGATGTAAACGGTAATGTGCAATTGGTCTATATGTACATATGTACGCCCAACTCACTGACGAGAAGACTCACTGAGCGCCCCGTCCCCACTAAGTGCCTCTGTGGACACGGTCGTAGACCTGTTCCAGATCTCAAAAACACACCAACAGGCTGGGAAATCTCACACAAGTACCCTAGCAAGGGTAAAGAGTTGGTCTATGCTCCCACAGCCAATGTCAAAACCACATTGCTCCTCCCCAGTTCTCGACGCCCCTGTCCAGTATCTTGAAACAACTTTCCAGTGTTGTCCATTATAGGTGGGACACAGCGATTAGTACAAAGGGAAAAAGGAAAATGAACAGGAAACATACTTTACGTAGATGTGTGTATTTAAAGACATTGAATCGCTCTTAGTCTGACCCCTTTCGTAAGTCTGGTTTGTCATGGGGGCTCTCCTGGGACAAAGCCTCCAGACATCAGGATCTCAAACCCTTCCACCACGATAAGGTGGCGATTCAGCAGAAGTATTTTTTTTTAATTCATTTATTTATTTAATAAACCTATGAAATTATACAAAAATATAAAATGTATACAATGTATAAATATAAGTACAAAAGAATAAATAATATTTTACAAACGTGTCAATAAGTAATAATAATATATAAATGAAGGAAAAAAACTTAGCAAATACATACAGTATAAAAACCACACATCCATTTTCCCGCTGATCTGAGATCACGTTGCGGGGACAGAAGCCTGAGCTTAGAGGCCCAGACTTCCCGCTCCATAAACAAAAAAATTACTCTAAAAATACAGTTATTTTGTCTTTTCTACCCTCTGTGGTGTTTGGAACGACAACCTTTAGCAGAGGGAAAGTCTGACAGTGGGTTACCTTCCTTCTGTGGTCCTGGGAACAAGAATCCTGATTACGAACAGAAGTCTGGTTTCTTTCTCTTCTGTCTTCTTTCCTGATGTTGAAACAAGAGGAAAACGTCTCAAACTGTAGGAAAATGAACCAGTGTCCCTCAGCTGACCAGACAGTTTACAGATGCTATTGGGGATAATATGAGAGACGGGTTAACAGTGATTATTGGTTTAGAGGAAAAACACTAACATCATGCCAAACATTCTTACCACCCTGCAAACACTAAAGCTAGGAATGGCCAGTGAGCTGTAATTAGCCGTAATCACCCACCTTCTAATCCGCTGTTTACCAGCTGGAGTGTGTGACACGAAAAGGCTTTTCACATCCAACAAAAAACAGACGTTTTCCTTCTTCTTAAAGCTGTTCCTTTCTTTAGGCACAACACTTTACAGTAGTCATGTTTATAAAGCAGTTTTGTCTTTTCCAAACATTTTCTTTATGAGTCTCACCTGTGAAGCATCATCAGACCAAAGATCATCATCATCTCCGTCTAAGTTTTTCATCTGCTGCTTTTAGCAAATGGATGGTTCAAACAGTCAGAGACAGCAGACGGCTCTGTCTGGAAAACCACTTAGTGAATTGAATACCTGTGTGGATTAATGCACACAAACCTGGCTTTTACAAGCTTGAATAACTTTAAACGTCAGTTTTTAGCTTTAACTTTTACACTTGGATCTTTCAGTCGCACAAATGACCCAGGTGGTGCGTGCGGGTGTGTGACAGCTGCTAGCACTTGGTATTTAAATCCAGACTTTTTTCAGTTTGTTGCAATTAATCAGTAGTTCAACAGAAAATACCCAATCTTTACCGATTCATTTAAATATTAAGAGAAATGTAAGCGTGCTGTCTCAATGAAAATATTAAAAACACTCACCATGACTCAGAGTGTGGGATTTTTTTATGATGGCTAACCGAATTATCGGAGCAGACTTCTAACACCACGTCTCAATCCTGAAAACATATGGCTCTGTGCAAAAAAAAGTAATAATTCATTTTTCCTACATTCAGCGTTCTCTTTTATCGCTGTTCTTCTCTGAGACATAAATCTGATGGTCAGCATGTTTTGGCTCCTTTACTTGCTGGATCAGAAAGTATCTATGACACAACTTTAAACGGATAAAATACTAGGAGGGACGACAAGAGAAGTATTTATCTGAATTATGATGCAGGAACTAGTGTGTGTTTGTGTGTGTGTGTGTGTGTGTGTGTGTGTGTGTGTGTGTGTGTGTGTGTGTGTGTGTGTGTGTGTGTGTGCGTGTGCGTGTGTGTGTGTGTGTGTGTGTGTGTGTGTGTGTGTGTGTGTGTGTGTGTGTGTGTGTGTGTGTGTGTGTGTGTGTGTGTGTGTGTGTGTGATTATTAATCCTGACAATTTTAACTCATCTGTCCAGAGCATTATGCTCATGTGGGAGGTTTTAGTTTGTAGATCCTCCCTTAAGAGTGGTTTCTAAAGTCAGAAGGATCCGTTTTTTCAGAGTAAATTCCAAGAGGAGGATGCACCACAGGGGGCTTTTCCATCAGAGATGGGAAATCTCTTAAGTGTGGGATAAAAAACTGAAGATGGAGATATTGATCTTTTCACACTCACATAAATGCTCTGAATACAACAGAATTTATTCCAACTGCGTGTTGATTATAGTGCCATTTTTAACTCCTGATATTATAATAGAAGTTTTAGAATTATTGAGTGTTTTTTTGTGCATTAGTGTGTGTGTGTGTGTGTGTGTGTGTGTGTGTGTGTGTGTGTGTGTGTGTGTGTGTGTGTGTGTGTGTGTGTGTGTGTGTGTGTGTGTGTGTGTGTGTCGGTCTAACCCAGCTCCCTCTCCTTCCTTTAGCCGATCAGTTTGTGTGCCACACCGAGGCCGTTGCAGATATTGTGATCCTGGTTGATGGTTCTTGGAGTATTGGGAGGATCAACTTCAAGCTGGTCCGGATATTTCTGGAAAATCTGGTCAATGCCTTTGATATAGGCATTGACAAGACAAGGATAGGTAAGCCACTTTTCCTAAAGAAGAATCATCATGTTTAAGATAATTTTTGCTCCTCCGCCTGAAATCTTGTTTATTTGTACGATGTTGTTTGTTTAACAGGAGGACATGACATGAATGTTTGTTTTTTAGGTCTGGCGCAGTACAGCGGCGATCCCAGGATCGAGTGGCATCTAAATACTTACTCCACTAAAGATGCAGTCATCGATGCAGTCAAGAACCTGCCCTACAAAGGAGGAAACACTCTCACAGGTACTAGATATGACTAAAGATGTATTCATTTAACAAGAGTTGATTCTGCTCTAGTTCACTTTGTCCTTATCCTACTGATTCCTCCTGTAAACCCTTAAAAATAAGCTGTTAATCCGCAGTTTCCTTCCAGACATCATCTGTATTTTCTTTCTGTTGTCATTTCTCACGCATCACCACCTTTTCTTGTCCTCACCTGAGTCCCTTCTGTGCGTCTGTGATGCTTTCCACAGGCCTAGCATTGACTTTTATCCTGGACAACTGTTTCAAGCCTGAATCTGGCTCTCGTGTCGGGGTGCCGAAGATTGGGATCCTCATCACAGATGGAAAATCCCAGGATGATGTGATGCCACCAGCAGAAAGCCTGAGAAAGGCTGGTGTTGAGCTGTTCGCTATCGGTGGGGGCACATAATCTGTTATTTTCTCAGTGTCATAAATAATGATCAGGTTTCTTCCAGCAATAATCCAGTAGTTGAGATCTTGTGAAGGGGGTTTCTGTGAAAATGCCATGAAGAATGAGTGTCTTACCTGTTGTAGATAGCTTGTGAATCACAAGCTAAGGGCTAGCTTCAGCAAAATCTGGATCAAATAACAATCACTGCCTTTGTAAAAATGTTATTGCAGTATAACATTATATTTAGATGCGCAGATGTTTGTGCCTATCTGAGTGGCTCTTTATGTGCAGCCTGGGTCTTTTCTGGCAGAATCATCTTAAAAAATAAATATCTGTGTGATGTGAAACTAACGACGGTGTAAAAGTTAGTAAAACAGCATGTTAGCAAACCGACCGTTAAGCAATTTTGAGATTGACGTTGTTTTAAGTTGATGGCGATCCTTGATCTTGACCTTACTAGCCATTAGCCTATCAATCTAGTTAGAGGGAAATCTTCAAACTTAGATCATTCAAAGAACAAGTAAGATTTTAATTATTCACAAAGTCGTTTAAGAAAAATAAACAAACTTTCTAATAATCCCTTTAACAACCTTCTCTACTTGAAACATTAAGTGGGAAAGTGCCTGCTTGAGCTGAAATTCCTGCTTTCCTTTGTTTCCAGGTGTAAAGAACGCTGACGAGAATGAGCTGCGCTCCATCGCCTCCGAGCCAGAGGACACTCACGTCTACAATGTGGCTGACTTCAACATTATGAGCTCTATAGTCGAGGGGTTGACAAAAATAGTGTGTGAGCAAGTGGAGCAGCAAGACAAAGACATCAAGCAGAGTAAGAAAGGAAACCAGAGCTTAGAAATGCTCCGTTCCATCTTCATGTGAACAAATCATTTACTACATCCCGACTGGCACAAAATATCTGCTGTTTTCTGTCCCTTTTTTCAGAATTTGTACCGGAGGAAACAGGAATGCCACTCCGCCTGGTGACATCAGAAGTCACTGCGCAAAGCTTTCGGGTCTCATGGAGCCCTGCTCCTGGGAACGTAGACGAATACAGAGTGGTTTATCATCCTGTTCAGGGAGGAGAGCCGCTAGAGGTGCGTCACTGATGATGTTAACTACCTTAAACACAGCGTGGCTTATACGTGATGCTGCAGCTGATTCAGATGCGTGAGTTTTCCAGAACATTTATCCAGAGAAGACATTAAATCTTGTGTAAAGCTGTATTTACCGGGACCAGATGTTCAGGAGAGGAATGTGAGGGTGCCGTTCCAGCAGACTAAACCCAAACCTCATCTTTATCACAAATGTCACTTTTTATTGTTCCAGATAAAATAATATTATTTAGCTGTAGAAGTTTTTGTTTTTATCCCCTTTTCCTTTTTCCATTCATATTTATATTCTTTTCCCTTGTCCATCTCTTTTCAACTTGTTCCTTTTTTTCCATCTAATTGTTCACATTTCCTGCTAATTTTTGTCTCTTTTCTTTATTCCTTTGATTGTTCTCATATTTCTGCCAATTCCACCTTCACACTCACACCTGCTGCACCTCAGGCTGTGGTGTCTGGCGATGAGACGTCATTGGTGTTACAGAACCTCAGCTCTCGAACGGAGTATCAGCTCGCCGTGTTTGCCGTGTATGCAAATGAGGCAAGTGAAGCTCTGAGAGGATCAGAAACCACCTGTAAGTTTACTCTAAAACGCACAGAAACATTTAACAAACAGTCAACATATGAACACATCCTTAAACACTGTTAAAGAGCGGTGGAACGCATTGAAATCCACCATGAACCCACTCACTCTGACATGTAACCAGGTGAACAAAGCATCTTTAATTACTATTTCATGAAATAAATCAATGTTTTAATACAAATTGCAAAATTATAGGCGCTGGACATGTTCAAAAGCATACTATTATATTGTGTGTGTGTGTGTGTGTGTGTGTGTGTGTGTGTGTGTGTGTGTGTGTGTGTGTGTGTGTGTGTGTGTGTGTGTGTGTGTGTGTGTGTGTGTGTGTGTGTGTGTGTGTGTAGTGGCTCATCCAGCAGTGGCCATCCTTCAGCTGTTTGATGTGACTCAAAGCTCCATGACAGCGAGATGGAAGAAAGTAGGTGGAGCCTCAGGCTACCTGGTGTTGTACGCCCCTCTCGTAGAAGATGGTGACTTGGACAGGAAGGAGGTAGGGCGGTGAAAAAAAGATGAATTCAAACTAGATCCTACGTTTTGATGGTAAGTTTTATGTTCATGTCGCTGTTCCTAGGTGAGTGTAGCTGATGCAGTCATGGAGCTGGAGCTGGAAGGTTTGATGCCTGACACTGAATACGCCGTGACGGTTTATGCCATGTATGGAGAGGAGACCAGCGACCCAGTTACAATCCGAGAAACGACGTGTAAGAGAAGAACACTCACAGTGTTCTGAGTTTGTCTTCAATTGTTTTATTCTGAAAGTGAAGATACAAACTTACAAAACGCAGCCCCCCTTTCCCCCCCTCCTGTTTTTAGTACCATTGAGTTCCCCCAAGAATCTCCAGTTTTCTGGCATCACTCACAACTCAGCCCACATCAGCTGGGACCCAGCATCCGGTGAAGTCAAAGGCTACCGCATCAAGTGGGTCATGACTGATGGACAAGTCACTAAGGAGGTGGGTGCTCTAGTGTCTTAATGTTTTCAAGATGGTCGTTATTTATTTGTAAGCGGCTGTTATTACATGCAACCCACCATGCTAGAACAAATAGAAGATTATATGTAGCCTAAAAATCTAGACTGACATTTGTCGAAACTAAATTATTTCGCTTTGCATGTTGGTCTAGCCAAGCTCCCCAGGAGCCTGAGCAGGCATACCATGGCGTTGTGCAGTATTGTGTTATGTCAATCACAGCACCTGGTTGTCACGATATGCTGGAGGTTGGTAGGACCCAAAATGCAGGAACCCAAAATGACACGAGGCAGGTGATAATATAAAGAAAAATCCTTTATTTTGAAAGATGAACCAAAGAATAAATCCAAGGCAGGGAGCCAAAAGTCCAAAGTCCAAAATCCAAAATCAAAACTAGAGACAAAAAACACAAGAGCATAGGCGTCATTTTAACCGGGGACGCCGGGGACATGTCCCCGGCAAAATTTGTGATTGGCATCTCATGGGGAGGGGGGGGGGGGTGCAACACCCACACTTTTCTTATTGAGATATTCAACACCCTCACTTTTCCAGCTGTTATGCTCACCTCCACACCAGTCTGGTTTATTTACGTCGCACTCACTCTGTTTGCCTCATCTCCTTCTTCACCTCCCACTTCTGACAGCCGATGTCGGGTTTCCAGGAGAGCAGGAGAGGGAGGGACGAAGAGCTCGACTGAATTCATAATTTTACATCTTGACATTAGCTGTACAAAGTCTGAGTTTGATAAAGTGAAGAACAACAATTTGCAGAGGTTTATAACAGGCGCGGTGCCAGGTTTTCATTTTTGGGTGGGCCTCGGTAATTCTGGACGGACCTTAATAAGCAGTGACTTAAGTGAAGCACTAGAAAATTTTGTTTAAAAAGACGTCATAAATATGTTCCCCCGTCATTTTAATTTCTAAAATATGAAGTAAAAACTCACAATTTAATTTTCATTCATTTGTCATTAATATGTAGTCTACACCCGTGCGTTAAGTGGACCATCTTCCAGTAAAAGCAAAGCATCCAGCCCACCTCTCCAAATGCGTAAAATGTGCATCAGCCGCTAGTTAGGCACGCCGCGCGCACCGTCAGCTACGTCAGCCCAGACAAGAGCAGAGCAAATAGAGAAAGAATAGAGGATAATTGTGTCTGGATGTGGATGGAGATTACATTTTACAGCAGCCTGATCATCATTTAAATACGTAAACCATCACCTGTCTTCTAGTCCACGCTATCAGCATTATTTTAATTGGTGTGTGTGTGTGTGTGTGTGTGTGTGTGTGTGTGTGTGTGTGTGTGTGTGTGTGTGTGTGTGTGTGTGTGTGTGTGTGTGTGTGTGTGTGTGTGTGTGTGTGTTTCACAACAAACACTGGTCTAACCAACCAGACCAGCGTGTCCAGTAACATATTAATGTTACAATTAAACAGTTTCACTTCATGTAGGCTAGGAACGTTTCACCTGCCGTGGCCCGACCGCTTCTGCTCCACATAAACTTTGTGCGTGATCAAATGTCTCTAGAGGTGCTTTCTGAGCTGCTGAAGAGGCTTTCTGCCTCAGACTGGATGCGTCTCCATATTAGAGACGGGAACAAGCGCTGTTCAGCCAAAGTTTCATAATTTCATAAAAAGAACATTTTTCCAAGTGACACATCCCTCAGAGAGACCGGGTTTCCAGACCGCTTCAGTGGGAGGAAATCTTACCGCATGCACCGTGGTTCTGCGCTGCGCTGCGAACCCCTCTACAGATCATCAGCTCACTGTCCGCCGTGGGCGCTCCGAGCCGCGCTGAACACAGTGTCCAGCATAAAGCTCTGATGTTCTGATGGGAATCTTTTCTTGATTTAGTTACCTCTGCGATGTGCGTTAACGATTAAAATGTCAGCTCATCCATGCGCATCAGTGCGTGTCGGGGTAATTTTTTTATAACAACCAACATCCTTGAGTTCATCTGTCAAAATAAACAGTCAAATGGAAATATCTGTAACCTGCCATTTAACTGTTTTGCCTTCTTGTGAAGATTGTTGCAAAGAGAAACAATTAAACCTGATTAACCCCAGAGCCATGCACACTGCACTGTAGTCCGTGACTGTAAATGAGGGGGAAACGATTTAATCGGATCCTTTTCTTTTCAACATGGTTTAATGTAGTTTCATTCAGTACAAACTTTAGTTACACCAATCTAACGAGACAGAGCCTGGATTTGTATTCTGAACAGTTTAAACATGTTTAAAACGGAGACATGCGTGACGCGTCTAAAATTCGCACCTGCTCCACTATTATGGAAATTAAACTAACAAGATGAATAACATGAACTTATTTTAGGCACAGACAACATCCCCCACACTTTTGAAAAGCTTGCGACGCGCCTGGTCGCTCGTGTACGTCAAAGTTATCTTTCATAAGACGATAATCAATAAAACGAATTATATAAAATGGATCCAGAAGTTGTAGCCCGTCTCTGCCTTCAATTTTTGGTATTTTTCACCCTGTTGATGGTTTTACTGAGCAGGTGCCACTTTTGTCACATACGTTTCTTTTTAAAACACTGCGAGCACAAGCGTGACCCGTCAACCCGGTCTCACAGTAAGACCGGGTTGGACCTGTTCAGGTTTACGCAGACAATCTTTACATTTAGAATTGGCATACAGATGTAAAATTAATGCAGTAAAATATAAAGCTTTTTATTTAAATATCCATTCATTATTTTACAAGCACAGAGAGCCGCATCAGATGGATGGAAGAGCCGCATGCGGCTCCAGAGCCGCGGGGTGCCGACCCCTGTGCTAGCCCACTTTATTGTCCCCAGCAATTTTTAAACCCCACTCAAGTGTATGGTTATTGTCCCCAGCAATTCTGACAACAAACTGACGCCCTTGCACAAGAGGCTAGAGAAGGCTGAGACTAGAGAAGACTTGACAGAATAACCACAATGGACTGACACAAGACAGAGACAAGACAGGGCTTATATACACAGGGAGGAGTAATTGGGAAAAATGGCAGCAGGTGTGTGGCGTGAGGGCTGGAGGGAAGGCAGGTGACAATAATTTATCTAAATAGGGAAACAGAACCAAAGGAGGACAGATAAACCTAAAACACAAAAACTAAACCTGGAGACTGAGGGAAGGACACACACACACATACACACACTGACACTCACACATACATACACTGAAACTGGGGAATGGACATGCAAACACACACACACAAACACCGAACTGGGGCAGGACACGCACACACACACACACGCACACACACACACACACACACACACACACACACACACACACACACCGAGCTGGGGACAAAGAGGCTAGAGCTACAGAACGTGAAGGAAGACCTGGAGGGGCTGGGGATGGATGAATGAATGACACAGGACCTGGGAGGAATTGACTTAAAAGGGCTACAAACAGAAGACACCTAAATGAGATGCAGACAAAGGACACATGAGAGCGCTATGAGAAACAGAAGGGACTCTAGAGAGGGATAGAGAAACATCAGGAGACACATGAAGGAAGATGCAGACACAGACCATGACAGGAGGACGCAGACCATGACAGTACCCCCCCCCCCCCCCCCCCCCCCCCAATGGGTGGATACCAGACGCCCAAACACGAACAAACAACAACAAGCACAAGACCAGACAACACAGGACACGAGAAAACCAGAGGGAGGGAGAGGAGGGAACGAACAAAACACAACCCAAAAAGGGCGGGCGAGGAGGGAACAGGAGACCCCTGGAGGCCGGCGACAGGGGACCAGGAGGCGGGACCAGGGAAGCCTAGGGGCCGGCGACGGGGAACCAGGAGGCGGGACCAGGGAAGCATAGGGGGCCGGCGACGGGGAACCAGGAGGCGGGAACAGGAAACTCTGGGGATCAGGGGGTTTGGAGGAGGAGGACGAGGAAGGGTCCCTGGAGACAGGGACTGGAACTCTGGAGACAGGGACTGAGACTGGAACACTTGGGACTCTGGAGACTGGAACACTTGTGGGGACTCTGGAGACAGGAACACTGGGGACGTAGACACTTGAGACGAGGACATCGACTCCGACTCGGGGACTGGAACCTCCGACTCGGGGACTGGAACCTCCGACTCGGGAACAGGCTGGACCGGATGCGGCGGGTCCTCCGGGACCACCGCCGAAGCAGGATGCGGAGCGTCCTCTGGGACCACCGCCGAATTTGAGTCCCCTGATGGAGCACTATCTAGCACTCGTCCCAGGGACTCCAAAAAGGGTGGTTAATCTGAACTGATATTTGGCCCATAAGCACAAACAACAGTCAGGACCCGTTCCCCGACCCGAAGGCGCAGGGAAGCTACCCTCTCGTCCCCTGGAGTAAACCCCAACACACAGGCAGAGAGTCTTGGGGCTAACAAAAAGCCAACCCCAGCCCTCCGCCTCTCACCCGGAGCAACTTCATCAAATGAGAGTGTCCAACCCCTCTCAAGAACTTGTGTTCCAGAGCCAATTCTATGTGTCGAGTTGAGTCCTACTATATCTAGCCGGTACCGCTCAACCTCTGCCACAAGCTCCTGCACCTTCCCTGCCAGCAAGGTGACCTTCCATGTCCCAAAAACCAGTTTCCTTGTCCGGGGATCGGACCACCAAGGCTCCCGCCTCAGTCTGCCACCCGATCCACACTGCACGGACCCTTCATGTTCCTCCAACTGTGGTGGGTCCACAGTTGGATGTGCCCATGTATCCGGTTCGGGCTGGGCCCGACCGGGCCCCATGGGCGAAAGCCCGGCCACCGGCGCTCGCTAACGGGCCCCAACCCCAGGCCTGGCTCCAGGGTGGGACCCCAGTAACCCTCCGTGCCAGGTACTCTGACTCCTTGATAGTTCATCCATGAAAGATCCTCTGAACCGTTCTTTGTCTCACCCTTCACCTAAGACCAATTTGTCATGGGAGACCCTACCAGGGGCACAAAGTGTCCCAGACAACATAGCTCCTAGGATCATTAGGGCACTCAAACTCCTCCACCACGATAAGGTGACGGTTCAAGGAGGAGTTTGGAAGCCTCTCTGACATAAAGCAATCTCAGCAATTTTATTCTTGACAGTTGCAGAACCTTCCAGAATGAGTGGTATCAGGGTTTAAGAGGTCATGCTGCTGCTGGTCACACCCACCCACCCTGATTGGCTGGCTATAAGCTGAAAAGTGGGAGGGGCTCTGAGTAGAGCTGCTGTCCACCTGGTGGTTCTGTTTTAGTTTCTCCGTTTGTGGCATCAAATGTAGTTCTCCAGTGTCGTATGGGTTTTAAAGGTTTTTATATCAAAAACATTCCTGTTACCCTGAGACATTTGCATTAAAACCAGAACAAGAACATAACATGACTGTGAGACTGTGGGATGTCTGTTCCTGCCTTGCAGGTGGAGGTGGGCCCAGTGACCTCTTACGACCTTAAGGAGCTGGCATCCCTGATGGAGTACTTTGTAGCCATCTTTGCCGTGCACAGCGAGGGACAGTCAGCACCGCTCACCGATGGCTTCACTACCAGTAAGAAACCATTACTGTATGTCGAGACTGATGAGGAACTTTACCAGAGCTAGAATTCAGCTGATTATTTGGTGCATTCATCTTTTACTTAATTATTAGCATTTCAACTTATTTGGCTAGCTCATATGTATTATTTTGGCAAACACTTTCAGATTTTATCCTAATGACATGTTAAATATTTTTTTTATTAATTAGTTTGAATACTAGTATTACTTTATTGATTTAGTTATATGTTTCTTGGTGAATTTATTGGGCTGGAGCTGGATTTGATTTTCCAGTACTTGCTGAAGGTAACTTAATCAGCACCAGCAGGCAGCAGACGGTTTCTCTTTGCTGACTTTCATCGCTCTTATTGGTCCTTCTGCTGTTTTGGCCATCTGCCCATCTCATTTACACATCAGCATAATTGCCCAGTAACATTAAAAGGTCATCCCACTGTTCCTGACTGCTCCATCACCCCAGTATTGATCTGCAGAAATATTCTTTTAAGCTACGCCCATGTAGGCTCCTGTGCTGCGTCAGCCCAAAGATTTGCATGTGTGGTGAGCATTCTCAGGACCATGTCGATTTTTATTTACCTCCTGGCAAATTTTGTTAAATGGACCACTTTCTCAAAAAAGACCTTTGAATAAAATGTAACATGCACGCACTTTTCAAATACGTAAAGGGGTGAACCGTCCAGAGTCACGGCCACTGTTCAAAAATGTGCTTTTAAGATAAACGGTCAAATAAAAATTCCAACTTGTGCTTGGTTGAGCATGAAGCAGCTTCATAAAACATCCTTATACCTTACACCACAATCAGAAAAGCACAACTGGAACAGGTAAGGAAGTAAAACGATAAAGGGAAAGCAGAAAACAGCATCTCCTTGTTTCTTCCAGCTCCAGTCCCCGGTCCTCTAAACCTACATTCCAGTAATGTCAAGGCAGACAGCTTTAAGGTCAGCTGGGATCACTCAGCCAAGGACATCGTTCTCTACAGACTCTCCTGGGCACCATTCGCTGGTGGTGACACAAAGGAGGTCAGTGAAACTTTCTTTTAGTTGTTTCAACGTGAGAAATCACAGGTTTTCTTCTCCTTCGCAGCGCCTCACAAATCAGACTGATATCCTCTGAATAAAGCTCCAAGTCAAAGTGCCAAAAACAACTCAGAGCAAAGCGCTAGCGTGTGTTTTGTAAACAAAATGCATCATTTATCACTACTATGAAAAACACAAATGGATTTAGTGTTTCATCGAATGAGAAGTCTGCTTATCGTCTTTTTTCTAGGAGAACAAAAAGCTACACTCTAGATTAAAAAAATACCCAAGTTGCACAGAAGCTTAACATCATTACTGGTAGCTAATAAACGCCCTGGCATGGTTGAATATAAATAATGGGTAAATAAATCTAGAAATTAATGGCTTGGCTGTTTTATTACTATGATTTGGAGTTTAGAGACAGCTGGGAAGCAGCGATAGAGCCGCGCGCGTGTGTGTGTGTGTGTGTGTGTGTGTGTGTGTGTGTGTGTGTGTGTGTGTGTGTGTGTGTGTGTGTGTGTGTGTGTGTGTGTGTGTGTGTGTGTTTAGCTCAGAGGCATCAGAGCTGAAAATTCCACTCTGGGGATGAAAAAGGGAGCTTTGGTGGTATGGTCTGAGAGAGAAAGAGAGAGGGACATAGAGAGAGAGACAGAGAGTGTGTGAGAGAGGGAGGGGTGGGGGGTTGGGAGGCAGAGACACACACACACACACACACACACACACACACACACACACACACACACACACAGAGAGAGAGAGAGAGAGAGAGAGAGAGAGAGAGAGAGAGAGAGAGAGAGAGAGAGAGAGAGAGAGAGAGAGAGAGAGAGAGAGAGAGAGAGAGAGAGAGAGAGAGAGAGAGAGAGAGAGAGAGAGAGAGAGAGAGAGAGAGAGAGAGAGAAGAGAGAGACAGAAAGAGAGAGAGACAGAGAGAGACTTTTAAATTTCTTTACAAATCAACAATCAGCGTTAATGACCGAAACTAGTGTTCTACTAATAAAACCAGGAAAAATGATAAACCAGTTTAGAAGTTGATCTTTAGGGAGTCCTGTCCATCCAGCATACAGAGCACCTGCCCGATCCCCCACACCACTCTAAAGGAGTCCAGGTTCCCAGGAAGTTCATTAAAGATGTGTTCGATCTTTAAGCGAGCTTCCACCAGGCCCTTCAGGCTCCGCTCAGCATCAGTCCAGCTCTGTCCCAGCATCTGGTTTTTCCTGGTTTTCCAGATGGCTAGTTTAGCACATGCAAATAAAAAGTTAATTAATAATATTTTCCGTTTTTTTCTGACACTGTACTTATATGGTGTCAGGTTTCCGCCAAAACCCGTGCAAGCGTAGCCAAAACCCGTGCACGCGTATTGTCCACATCGCGCGTGCGAGCGGGACTTGCGCGTGGAGGTTAGAACCTCATGAGTGAAAATATACATGGCGAGGAGGTCATTTGTACACTGAGAGGGAGCAAACTGTGTCTGTGAGCGCACAAGTGACAAACCTGCGTGCGCTCGTTGGCCAACGAGCACACGGCAGAGGAAAACATGCGCGCGGCAGCCTCACTGCGCGCTCGGTGCGGCAGCCTCACTGCGCGTCTGGCAGCCTTTCTGCGCGCTCGGTTTCTGATTCTGCTCGCTCGGCTGTTGGGAGTTTTGGCACTCTGGAGGCGTGGAAGAATTAAAGTGCCAGAAACTGAGCAGTTGAACTTTCAATTTGAGAGCAGAATTTCATATCAAGAGACCATCTTTTTAATTTCAGAATACGATTTTATATTATTGCTCTCAAAACTTGTAATGCTTGCGCTCAAAATGTCTGCTCTCTTTCAAATTCACTCTGTTCTCCTTCAAATCTTTGTTTTTGCGCTCAGATTTAACCTTCTTACACTGGTATTGTCTTCTCATGTGACAACTTTTTCTCTGCACGGATCAAAACTCTTCCCACAAGTCTGTCCCCTGCTCTCACGGATCTTGTCTGCTCTCGCTCAAAACTTAGAAGTACAATCTCCTAGCAACCGCTCAGCCAATAGAAAGATTTGTGGGACTGGGCGGGAACAAACCTCTTTGGGGTGCGCTCGTTTTGCGCTCTGTGGATTTTCCTGTGTGGCTGCCGCATCTGTGCACTAACAGCCTGGCTAATACCCGCTCTGATCTGGAGCAAGAGTTTCACCTGCACCAGCAAAATGGACCAGAACCAACAAGACGCTCAAGTAAGTTATTTTTCAAGGCTACTAGCTGCAGTTTATTCCATAAAATTGTTTTGTTATGCTACTTTTTACGACTCCTCGCATTTAATATTGCAACAGGGGCACAGCTAGGTGGATTAGGTTATTCACTATAGCTACAACTTTCATAAAATGGCCTCAGCCGATTTGAGTTTTACCCTAACATATCACTCGTCTCCAATGCTAGCTCTGGACCTAGTGTAGATGTTTTTTGTTTAGTATTCCCACCTTTGTTTTTAATAGTTAGCTCTTTGGACATTACAGTAGTTATTCGTTAGCGTTTACTCCATGAACATTGTTTCCTCATCTAACTGCTAACTATCAAAATGTGTTTCATCCATCGACATAAATATATCCCAATGTTTTTCTCGCGCTGTAATGAACAAAATGGGTAATCAAAGTAAGAGAATGTTATTAAAAAGTAGAACTCGTTATAATTGAACGATGGAAATTTTTGACCAAAGCCGTAGGAGAAAACCGTTTTTGATAGGGAAACACATTTTGACACAACACCTGCCCTGACTGGCGCGTCAGCTAGCTTTCAATCTGTTGGTAGGTTTCTGAAAATATTAATGCTATGTTAAGTGAGTGTAATCCAGTAGTCATTTCCCCAACAAAATAACAATTTCTATTTTTGCTCAATTCCTGCCTCCTGCCATTTCATTTTGCACTCGCATTATTTCTTTTTGTAATCCTGTCAAACCTAGCCGCTGGTCTTTAAACATAATGATCCTAACTTACTAATACTGAGTCTGGGGTTACATAAGCAGTAACAAAACAAAAACAGTTTCTGTTTCTAAGTCTCAGCAATGAGTAAGGTTGTATTTCTGGTGTAAGCGAACTAACATTTGTTTTCTGTGAAATGCGCGAAATGTTGTATTACACAGTCTGTGGTACCATGATGCAGCACAATTCACTGTTGCTTGTTAAACCACAGAAGATGTAGAGGAAAATGAATGTAATGGCTGAGGTGGAGGACCTGTAATGACACCAGAAAATAAGAAAATGTGTAAAAGCTTTATTAAAAGTGTAGTCCTGAAATTCTCATGGTAATCCAGGGAAGCAGGTTGGTGCATGGTGAGGGAACAGGCGTGTGTCAGGGCCAGGTAAACAGCAGGTTCCATCCCAGCTCCAACCAGAGAGTGCTGCTGTTGTGTCCTTGGGCAAGACACTTAACCAACTTTGCCTGCTGTTGGTGGTCGGAGGGACCGGTGGTGCCAGTGTTCAGCAGGCCCGCCTCTGTCAGTGTGCCCCAGGGCAGCTGTAGCTACTATCTGGCTTATCACCACCGTAAGCATGTGAAAAGGGTGTGGCTGTTGTGTAAAGTGCTTTGTAGGCCTTGGACTTGATAAATTTCAATAAATGTGCAAGCCAATTACAATTTTTTTCAATTTGTAGGTGTTTCCCATTTGCTGTATAACCAAATACAACTTTTTCTGTGTTTTTTTGTTTTATTTCTTTAGACTGGTTCCATCCGAGAAGTTACGAGAAACCTTATGGATTTACTGAATGCTCATCTACAAGCAGAGGGCCCGCAACAAACACCAACTGTGCCACAGCGCACAACACCAGCGACAACACCTTAACAGACTATCCCTCGGTCTACAGTTCATCAAGAAATGTCAAGGTAAGTTAAGTGTAGAAATGTAAATATTTGACATCTGCATTGGTCTATTCAGTGGTTTGAAATTAAATTATTCCAATGATGCTTTATTATTCATCTTAGAAAAAGGCTTTCTGCAATTGACTGTATTTATTTTTTTACATAGTGAAATTAAATTCTGAAATAATGTAAGCAGTGTAGTATAGGCTACAACTAGGGCTGGGCAATATATAGATATTTTAAAATTATAAATATAATTTTAAACGAGAAACAAGATGACTTTGTATTGATATAACTAGTCAAGCCTCATAAGCTAGCAACTAGCTTGCTCCGTCTCTAAGCGGTCATTTCATGTATTCTCACAAATCTGCTCAATCAGAAAACCCCTGGGTCAATGTTCTGCCCTAAACTTTGCATTTGGCTTCATGGTTTTTAATTATTTGGGGATATTCGTTCATGTTTCATCAAGCCTGTTCACCGTGGTTACCAACGGAGTTCTGTTTACCCCTCCCTCGTGTAATTGGGAAACCACTACAGAGAGCCAGAGTGGCCAAATTACCTCAAACATGTTGTAATGGATTCAACTGTAAACGTTAGGGTTAACATTTAATTTTGAAGGTGAGTTCAGCGCTAAAAGTTTTTCTGGTTCCGGTTTTTGATGCTTTGCTATGGTCGGGGCTCAGCCACGTTAGTTCGGAATAGAACGGGTGGTTTCTTGTTCACATGTGATTCCCAGGACTTCTCAGGAATGCGGAAATCCCCGAGCATGTGGGCGGCGGTAAAGACGCGCGGAAGAAGTCTGCGGTGTCCGCCTATGCTAAACAATAATTCCTCATTAAACCGCTGCACCAACACACACTGCGCTTCTCTAATAATCTGCTCTCCTCTAATCCTTCCTACTTCAGCGCTGTAGTGTCCTCCGCTGCAGACGTGTCCTTATAACCGCTGCTACACACACACACTGCTGTCCTCCTCTGCTGCGGAGCGGGAGACAGCAGCTTAGTGCTTCATGTGGGCTAAACAGCAACCAGGATGAAAAGTAATCGCACATGCGGAAACCCCCCGGTGTTTGATCCAACTCCCCAATAGGAGGCGGTAGGTGTGAGTTTCAGCTGCCAATCAGTCCATAGTGTCTGCTCGGCACCAGCCGGACCTCCGAGGGAAGTAGTCTGAAAAAAAAGTCTCCTTAGAACGAAATACACACATGTGAGCCATATGTGAACAAAACATTTGGTTCCGAACGCATCCATGCCGACCCAGATGTGAAAGCGGCTTAAGTGAGGGAAAATACTAACATGGGACGACTGTGAGAATAAGGAGTAAAATAGTTTAGTTTTAAAAATAGTTTCCAGCTCAAAACAGGAGACTTGACAGGTGTGATCCTGGAATTGTGGATGAAGTCTGTCAGTGAAGCTCTTGGGATCACAGCTCCACCTCTCAGTTCAGACTCCACAGAGCTCCTAGTGTGTGAGTTCTTGTTCTCTTCTGTACTTTTAACGTTAACGCAGGAGAGTGTTTGCTGTTTTATTTCAGTTATAATGTGAACAACCACACAAAACATTAAATTTACTCAAAAAATCTGAATGGATTTTTAAGACTTGCAGTGTGAACGTAGCCTTAAGCCTGATTCATGCTTCTCCGTCTGCGTCAGTGCGGAGACACGCAACATCCTTGCGGGCCTGCCGGAGAGCTCCGCAAGGACGGACGGAGTCAAGCTCTCTTTTCTAAACAGCCGTCAGTCGAGACGGACAACGCAAGCTTGTGATTGGTCAGGACGCCGCTGTTGTTTACAGCGCCGCCATTGCACCCTCAAAAACATAAAGAGAGCCGAGGATAACAAGCGGCAGACACGGAGCAGCTTGAAGAATACCTCGCGAAAAAACTCTAAAAACATGAACTTTTAGTTCCCCCGTGACTGGAGGAGTGAAAAGATATGCAGCAAGCGTTTTATTTGTGGACGGAAATGACAGGAAACGTGGGTTTAGAGGTGGCGAGCGTATGAAGAGGTGGAGGAGAATGAGAGACAAATATGTCCATGTTAAAAGTCTCTTATATACACAAAAAATACAATATAAACACACTATCTTGGTCCAATACATGACAGGATACCACAGAACAGCGCTACGCCCTCTGTTGTCCTGCCGAGGAATTGCTTTGCAACACTCTCCAGGACACGTAGAAGTATGAGAGCAAAACACTTCCGTCAATCCGTGCGTGTCTGTCCCTTGCGGAGCTGACGGAGAAGCATGAACCAGGCTTTAGACAGCATGTTTCTTTCTACATAAGCCGTACCATAGACATCATTGGCTGCTGGAGAGTAACTGCTTCACAGCCATATTGAGTAGGTTTCTAACTCCAAAACCCAATTTGAATCCAGTCATTGGAGCAACTATGCCTGTTTTTGTGCAGCTCACAGTTCCAACAACCAGCAGTTACATGTGCCTGTAAGCTTTGTTTGTTAATAAAGTTAGATAAAAATAAAAAAAAACTGTTATGTCACGATCTCCTTGCTTTCTACAGGAAGTTAAAAAAATTATTTCAATAAGATTGAAACACAAACATGAAGCTGTTGAGGGTCTGACCTCATGAGGAAATTACTATGCAGTGATTTTCTCCAAAATGACTGTGCTTAAATTGCTCTGAAAAGCAAATAATCACATCAGCGCCAAGAAACTTCATTTCCCATGATGCTTTGCACACGGAAGCATTGGGATGATGTCACCGCCTAATACCAGAAACACGTTCTGCGCATGTGCGGGAGGCCGTGGAGCTTTTCTCGCGAACTAAGACCATAAATCTTCAGCAAAGACAAAGAAACCTCGTTCTTTTGCCCAGGATACCTGGCGGTAAGGACACGCTTGTCGAACGCTCCGACAACTTGAGCACGCAGAAGCTCTAAGTGCCCAAGTTGAGCCACGCAACCGCTGGAAACCACTCCAACTCCATCGGGACCTGACTGGGAACGAGCGGAGCTCCACCCAGCTCTCAGAGACGCTGTAAGTTGTCAAACTCAGCCCAAAAGAAACTTCGTTCTCTTTGTGTCCAGCCCGTTGGAGAAACACTCGTGGGGCCAAAACAACGGAGAAAGCATCAAACCGACGGACGACGCCAAACTGCGGAGAAACACGGAGAACCGTCAAATCAAAACAGTGAGGGACGCCTTGCTGTTCTGGTGATCAGAAAACTCATTTCTCTCTCTCCTTTTCTTCTCCCGTTTCCTCTATAGTCCAGAATAAGCAATAAAACCGCGCTATTGCTTAAAAAGTAGCTTCGTGTCTTCCTCTTTCGTTCCCAAACACGTCCGTCAGGTCATTTTGAAAGAATAAACTGCTTATTTATCATTGTTTGAATATCTTTAAATGTTTCGGCCATGGCCAGGCTGATAAACTAAAAGATATTAACTTGTGATTAATCTTTTGTGTTGTTTCATGATCCTTTGAAATGTTTTGAGTGATTTAAGGTTAAGTTACTACTGATTCTAAGTGCTTTGGAAGTTAAAGTGCAAGTTGCCACCCACACTTTAGCCAGACAAAGGGGTCAGCCATCTTGTATTCAAGACTCCATTTTGAATCCATACACACGCACACACACACTACTCCTTTGTGAGAACAAAGGACCCCATTCATACATCCTCCATCACACGCAAACACATCCATCTTTAATTATATCACATGGTTATTATTCATTTATGCCACTGTTTATTCATTTGACAAATTGTTAATTAAACGTTATAAAATTCAGATTTTCGTCTCCAGTAGCTTTGTTGTGTCGAAGAGAAGTCTCTGCTCCAAGGATTCTACGAACTTCAAGAAAGACTGATAAGAGTTTTGGATTCAATTTTTCCCCGGTTAAAGGGGAATGGTGCTCCGTATATCTAAGAATATCTTAATTAATTAATAAATCAGTAAATATTTACATATTTACAGAATTTATTGAAGAATCCAAAAGTAAGTTGAAGCTTACTAATTGTTCGCTCCTAATAACCCCAACAAAGCTAAATGAGGAGCTCTATGAACATACTGAACGCCGCTTTAAAAGATACTGAATGTGAAATATGGCATTTCTCTACTGCTGACTGATGAAAGGGAGTCCGATGTGCTTGTTGTCATTTTGCAGGAGGTTGAACGATCTGACAAGGTAGTTAGTCCGTAAAAAAAATGTGCTGCAACACTCCCAGTGCTTTTTTTGTGGCCTTTACGGCTATTCATTGGTAGGCTCATCACGGAACACAAAAATGTAGCTTGTTTGTTATGATTTAGGTACGTACTGCCCCCTAGTGGCAGAAAACTACAGACTGTCGCTTAAAGAAATAGCACAAAATGGCCAGGGATGCACTTCAATGTATATTCTCTTCTACGGTTTTAAAATTTTGAAATAATTATCTATCGATCGATTAGATTTTTTTAAATTAATATGCTTTTATTCATCAACCAGCCCTAAAACCTACTAAAGGTTAAACATTTTAAATTGCAAACTGTACTTAATTACGGTGATGCAAGTAAATGACAATTACACCCCTGCAAAATAGTAAAAGTTCTAAATCAAAACCATTTTGAATTTTTGTTATTCTTGTCCCTGCTATTTGTAAGTTGTTTTTTTTTATCTAATTTTGGCATATAGTAATCCTGCACAACAATGTGATAATTTGGTTTCTATTAAAATTTAGGAAATTTTGCTTATTTGTTGACAAATTGCAGCTCAATATAGAAACATCATCATTGTTCTCTTGTTGTAATGTCAGGATTTCCAAGAGCCAGACATCGACTGAGACGTTGTAGCAGAGTAAAGCCCAGATGTGGACGGTGCTGTTGTGGTCCCGGAGTTCGACAGTCCCCTCACTGAAGAGCAGCATGCTGAACTGCAGTTGCTACTGGCACAAAATTGGGAGCGTTCAAACGCTAAGGAACTTTATCTGTTGTGCAGAGAATATGTTAATGCTGCTTTGTCAGATTAATGTGTACTTGAAATAAAAAATCAAGAGATCAGTTCCAGTGCTTTTATTAATGTTACAAAAGAAATACATAACATGTATTTGAAATGGCAATAAGCCTAACTTTATGGATTCATGTAACAATGTCGCTTTCTAGCTCCAAAACATTACATTATTTAACAAAACCATTTGTCTTTTTGGAATCAAAGTTAAATATGAACCATTATACAGTAACCTGAACCCAGAACAGTGGCCATCTTGTTTTCACTTAATGTCTGCTAAAATCAAATCTATCACAGACTTCCTGAGTAAGCTGACTTTCAAAGTCAGTGTATGTAGTAACGTGCCATGTAGGTAAGGTGATTAAGTGTGGTCCATACCGGGTGGTACCGTCGTGATCAACATTTACAGTTATCTTGTAAAATTCTCTTTCTGTGTCTGTTAGTGGCGCATGCGCCTGGCCTGAAACCCACTGAAAAAATCCTTGCACTGACAACTGCTTTGCTCCACAGCCATCTGATGGGCTCCCATCTTGGTCATCTGTTCCTGAAGGGTGAAAAAAAAAATCAGTGTGTCACTAACATGATTGAGGTACTGATTACCTCTCTGTAATTAGCCAGTTACTTTATTGTCTAATTAAGGTGTAATGGCTAAATCAGTTTCAAAACAAATATATTTATAATTTATTTTAAAAAAAATTTTATTTGATGGGGGATTGGGTGAAACACAATGGTCTCTCTGACACTTCAAAATTTTCTCAATCAATCAATTTTTATTTATGTAACACCTTCCACTGCCTTTACAGGAGCCCAAGGCACTGAACATAACAATTTAAAAAAGAGCTAAGCATTATGAGCAGTAAAAGTGGAATAATCCTGCATGGTTCTGTGGCTACCTCCTTCTTCCAGGTTTTGCAAGAGGTCCTGAAAAAAGTTGATCATGTCCACTTCCTTTGTGTCTTACTCATCCATTGTCACTGTACTGAGGAGCCAGTGCCTCCACAACGAAGTCTGCATCCACCTACAAAAGACGTTTTTAAAAATACTGTGAATTAAAAAGATAAAACTGTTAGGGCTGCTTCTGCTTATCCTGCAGAGCTAAATTAATATAAGAAAATGAAGATGTATACCACTAAAAAATATGTAAAACTTCATTGCCATGATATTAGAATAAAAAATACATCTGATAGCTTCCTTAAAGAAAACTTAAAATTGCTGTCTGTAAAAAAAATGATAGCTGTAAAAAATAAATTGGGGCAAACAATGTTAAACAAACATATTCTTGTACTTGTGAATCGATTTGATTCTTAGTATTTTTTATAAGAATCGATTAGAACTGTTGATGGAACAAAAACAGCTTCAGCTTCTCTGCATTTCCTATATGTTTTTGTAATGGACATATTTTTTTTGCAGAGGCCTAAAGAATTTGTACTTACCTGTTTAAGGTTCCCAGGAAGAAAGAGGGGCTGAAGTGCCTGGTGGTGTTGTGGCAACAGCTCATCCAAACCCTAGATGGCCAGTCCTTCTCTAAGCTGACTTAGCATCGGTATGAGTCTCATCACCGAATGCAAACTGATGGCCCTAGTAAAAAGAATAATGAACTTGTAATAACTCAATTTTCAAAAATTGCATGACTTGTTTAATGCTACATTAACATAGCCTACCCAATGATGGCCCTTTTGCAATTGCTGTGAATTGACCAGTGTAGCCACATGCTACAATGGCATCAGAAAGGTCTGTCAGTGCGTCTTCTTCGGCACGTTCGACCTTCAATCAGAAACACTTGTTAGTACAATTAACAGAAAATAAATTATTCTGTTTAATTTACCTCCTGAATCAGGTTCTGGGTTTCCGTATCAGTCACCTCTGGCACATCTTCATTTGTTATTTGTCCATGACGCAAGAAATGGTAAGACCAAGTAGAAAAGAAATTCGGTGCTGGTCCTGCTTGAACCAAGCTGGTGGCAATGATCTCCCCACAGATCCTGAACACAAAACAAGCCAAGTTACACTGCAGAGCAGCATCATACTGTACATACCTGTATCTGTTTTCCTGGTAGTAAGAGATACTATATTTGGGGTTTTGCCTTTGCATGAAACTCCTTCAAATAAGTTCAACTCAAGGCCTCGCATCATTTCTATTGGGAAAAAAGATATGACAGTTTGCCATTTTCAACTATATTCAAAGTTGGTATGTTGACATTAGCAAGGATACATACCAGTTAGGAACTCTCGGCGTAGTGCTCCTTCATCAATGTCGTGTTCTCCAATAAAGGAAACACTTAGCTGGTTTTTGGGGGAAGCCTGCTTCTGTCTGGCCCGCTGTTTCAGACCTCTCTGGTAAAGGTCGTCCCTTGTCACATTAATGTTAAAGCTTTTAGTGTTGTCAACTCTTTCTTGTAGGAACTTCAGGATGTCTGATAAGCTATTGACAACAACATTGTGTTTATTATTATTTATTTTAAAACCTACACATTAACACAAATGTTTGTAAAAATTCTAACCAGCTTAAGTGCTTGGAAGAGTCATCCACATCCAGTATGATGCTGTTCAGATGTGGAAACAAACAAACAAAAAAAGATTAAACTCTCATAACATATTGTGTACAACGTGCATGGGTAAAAACATGCACCTGTCCTCTTCCTCCTTCACCAGAAAAGCTGGCATGCAGTTGTATAGACTCCTGAGTAAATTCTTATCACACAATGGACAGGAAACCTATTAAAGACATTTTTTTTTAAATCAGTGACCAACAATCATTGTTAAGTAAACAATAATGATTAACATGAAATGTAATTAAAATATTCTGTATATTGCTAACGTGCATGTTTGAAGTTTGATTTAAAGGGATATTCCACCCTAAGTGAAAATTTGTCTACTGTCTAAATTGGCTCCTGCTAATGTGTTACTTCTTACTTTTCATTTGCAGTCAACATGATTATTGAGCTCAACAGGAATAACTGGTATCATAATTTAGTAATTTTACAGTTTTGCACACAAAATGCTACTACCTCCCATTAAGTTACATGGTTTATTCTCATCTAAAGCAGACAGACTGCTGGCAGATAAGAATTACTGCGCTGGTTAAAACAATCCTTTTTCATTCACTTATCCAACTCTGGGGAATACGGCACTAGAAAACATTTTTGGATCTTTCCCTGACACATATCTAGCCCGTCATAACTCAATCCCCAGTTCCTGGATAAAACACCGGACATTTTATTCCATGTAGGACCCTAATCCACCTAGCTATGTGCCCCTGTTGCAATATTAAATGTGAGGAGTCGTAAAAAGTAGCATAACAAAACAATTTTATGGAATAAACTGCAGCTAGTAGCCTTGAAAAATAACTTACTTGAGCGTCTTGTTGGTTCTGGTCCATTTTGCTGGTGCAGGTGAAACTCGCTCCAGATCAGAGCGGGTATTAGCCAGGCTGTTAGTGCGCAGATGCGGCAGCCACACAGGAAAATCTACAGAGCGCAAAACGAGCGCACCCCAAAGAGGTTTGTTCCCACCCAGTCCCACAAGTCTTTCTATTGGCTGAGCGGTTGCTAGGAGATTGTACTTCTAAGTTTTGAGCAAGAGCAGACAAGATCCGTGAGAGCAGGGGACAGACTTGTGGGAGGAGTTTTGATCCGTGTAGAGAAAAAGTTGTCACATGAGAAGACAATACCAGTGTAAGAAGGTTAAATCTGAGCGCAAAAACAAAGATTTGAAGGAGAACAGAGTGAATTTGAAAGAGAGCAGACATTTTGAGCGCAAGCATTACAAGTTTTGAGAGCAATAATATAAAATCGTATTCTGAAATTAAAAAGATGGTCTCTTGATATGAAATTCTGCTCTCAAATTGAAAGTTCAACTGCTCAGTTTCTGGCACTTTAATTCTTCCACGCCTCCAGAGTGCCAAAACTCCCAACAGCCGAGCGAGCAGAATCAGAAACCGAGCGCGCAGAAAGGCTGCCAGACGCGCAGTGAGGCTGCCGCACCGAGCGCGCAGTGAGGCTGCCGCACCGAGCGCGCAGTGAGGCTGCCGCACGCATGTTTTCCTCTGCCGTGTGCTCGTTGGCCAACGAGCGCACGCAGGTTTGTCACTTGTGCACATCCTTGTGCGCTCACAGACACAGTTTGCTCCCTCTCAGTGTACAAATGACCTCCTCGCCATGTATATTTTCACTCATGAGGTTCTAACCTCCACGCGTGAGTCCCGTTCGCACGCGCGATGTGGACAATACGCGTGCACGGGTTTTGGCTACGCTTGCACGGGTTTTGGCGGAAACCTGACACCATATACTTGGTCCCGAAAACAAATAAGGGTAGGGTAAAAGCCTCCCCCAGTGCACTAACCCACCGTTCTAAAACCTTAAACATCCCTGATAACCTAGAACATGCTACCACTAGATGCTCTAGGGTCTCTGTTTGGTTACAGAAAGGACATCCCTCCCCGGTGCTTGGATCAAAGTGGGCTCTGTGTCTGTTCGTAGCTAAAGCTCCATGTATGATCCTCCACTGGAGGTCTGCCATCCGTTTTTTCCACTGGAGACTTATACAAACTCCTCCAGCTGCCCCCTGGGGCACGGTCCGCAGCAAACACCCGAGTCCACCTCGACTCCTTGACTCCTAACAAGGAGCGCCTATTGATAACTTTCACTCAAGTGTGATAGATCTGTTTCTTCTCACAAGACTGGAAGGAGCCCAACATTGGAGAGTTCGGGTTCCGCAGTGATCCACTCTCTTCCTGCCATCCCTCACCAGCTGCTTTAACCTCCAGAGATGGAAAAACTTACTCACTGTCATCATCCCATTGGTCAGATAGAGTACAAGTCTCAATGAAGGCTCTCTGCGACACAGACAAGGACCTCCGTGCCTCCTCCACCACTCTCTCCATCACTCTGGTCCCGTGTCAGGCGCTCGGGAAACCGTCAGCAGCTTAAAAGTGTCCAGCACTGGCGAGTAGAACGGACTAATCCTTGTCAGATCCAACACCTTCCGATTCAACAGGAACAGGCGTTTGTTCAGCCCAAGCCCACCAACCTTCTGCAGCAGGAGATGAGCCAGCAGAGTCTGCCACCATAAAGAAGCTTCTGAGCTGTCTGTAACCTGAAGGCTGCAGTTCTAGACACCACGTCTGTTAGTCCTTGTCCTCCCTCTGACACGGGTAGGCAAAGAGCCGAAGCTCTGATCCAGTGGAGACCGGACCAGAAGAATTTCACCAACAGATTCTGAACACCTTCCAGCAGACCCGGTGGTGGAACCAGTACAATTAGTCTGTGCCACAGAAACGAGGCGACCAGGTTGTTTGCTATCAGAACCCTGCCCCTGTAGGACAGCTGAGGGGAGAAGCCATTTCCATTTAGACAACCACGCCTCCACCTTCTCCAGCACCTTCTCCCAGTTCTGTTTCTGAAACCTTTCACTACCCAAGTACAGGCCTAGTGTTTTCATACCTCCCGTTCCCCACCTCAGCCCTTCTGGCAGAGGCGGGACATCGCCAAGGTCCCACCCCCCACTACACATGCCTCACTCTTGTCCCAGTTAGCCTTAGCTGAGGATGGATTCTCATATTAAAGTAAACTAGATCTGAGTTCTTGTACATCCTCCTGATCATGGATAAAAACATTCACATCATCTGCATACGCAGACACAACTAAGGGAGGACTAGAGACAGGTAAAGGTAGGTGTGGACCTTTCAGCCTGTTCCTCAGCCGACACAGCAGCGGTTCAATAGCTAAAATATGCAGTTGTCCTGAGATGGGACAACCCTGTCTGATTCCTCTTAGAACTGGTATGGGTTGACTCAGGCCCCCCGCTACCTTCACCATACAGCGGACATTCCTACACAGCATCTTAATCCCTTCCAGAAAGGACCCCCCCAAAACCAAAGGCCTGTAGCGTAGAGAACAGGAACTCATGATCAACCCTATCAAACGCCTTTTCCTGATCAATCGAAATGATACCTGCAATTGCATCAAACATTTTACAAACATCAAACACATTTCTCATTAAAAATAAATTGTCCATTAGTGACTTTCCTGGTATACAGAAGGACTGATCATCTGGGATTAGACCTCCGATGAATCCCCGAAGTTTGTTTGAAAGGAACTTAGAAAAAATCTTAAAGTCTGAACACAACAAGGAGACTGGTCTCCAGTTTTTCAGTTAGGTTAAGTCCCCTTTTTTCGGCAGCAGGAACAGAACGCCCTGCCTACACGATGCAGGAAGTGCTCCTGTCTGAAGTGAGTCTTTAAAAACATCCATCAGGTCCTGTCCCATACTGCTCCAGAAGAATTTGTAGAAGTCAGCAGGTAAGCCGTCCATCCCCGGAGATACCTGCACTTGTGTTTGTGCCGTGATTTAGGAAGCCTTGACCTCTCCACCCCAGCCTCCAGTCTAATTCGTTTTTAGGATCACCGTGTGTTTCTTGTAGGAAAATAACATCCAACGTTTAATCTCTAAAAAACTTCCTTAATCAAGGCTCTTTTCTGTGGATCCCTCTCCCATTTATGTTCAAGGATGCAACTCTCATGCCTTTCATACACAAGAAAGATGAGAGAATAGCCCAGATCACCAGCAGAAAAAGAGGCACCCAGTGATTCCTATTCATAAGGGTCCTATTTTATAATCTTCCCTTTCTTCCCCACTTTAGTCCACCCTAAACTTTTTTTAAGCTCAGAACATGTTTCTTTAAACAGTAACGTTTCTTTTCATCTGAACGACCCAGGCCCACCTCTTTCTGCAGTGGCGGCCGACCTGATAAACTTTACAGCATCAGGAAAGTATTGCTGTACGCCTACTGATTTTCCATACGTTTCATCCGGAATCGCCGTGGCAACCAGCAGCAGTCAGCTCCGCCCCCTCCGCTTCACTCTTTGGTTCCACCTGCCTCTGCTCAGGAACCTGTGCATCCTGACAATCTAGCTGTCCTCTGTTAGTTAAGAACTGAACTCCTGCCTTTTGGCCTGTGTCTACCTGATCCCCTGGCCCTTCCTCTGGTGAACGCACCCCTAAAGAGGCAGACGCGTCACCAGTCGGCTCAAGACCTCCATGTTCCACCTGTACTGGCTGCTGCTCCACTGGGTCAGAGCCAGTACCGGCCTTCGTTCCGTCTGGAACTGAAAACTGTCGGCCACTGTTTCTGTCCCTGCTGCACCCTCACTGTTTCCCTGCGAGCCACCGGTCACAGTGTCACTCACCGTGACACCGGGCCCGATCCCCGCCAGAAGAGAGGGGGCCGCGGGTTCTGCCTTGGTCTCCGCTCCCGGTCCTGCTGCATTTGTCAGTAGGGACAAGCAACATGCTTGTGACCCACATCTCCACGCTCAAAACATTTCATCACACCAGAACTAGCATCCACCATGTAATACCCTTCCTCATGCTTCACTCTGAATGACACGTCCAGCAGTTGTGATGGAGAGTCTAAGTACATGAACACCTGCCTCCGCAAGGACTGGACAGGTCTCAGTTTATTGTCTTTACACCCCAGACTCACCGTATGGAATCCACTCGCCATTCTCCCGAAACGCCTGAGCTCCCGCTCCAGAGCAGAGTCAGGAACAAAGGGAGGAACTCCTGACACGGTGATGCGGGTAGACGGTAGCGCTAATGGAGAAAACTGTAAAAACTCACCATTTACATGAATCCCGTTCTGCACAAGCTGACACACCTGCTCCTGACTTTCGAGAAACACCACGAGCCCTTTGTTCATACGTGAGGCAAAAAGAATGCTTCCATGTCCCACCTGGTCTCCAACCGCTAACAGCACCTGTTCCACCGGAGTGGAGGGTGGAGGCTCGGCTCTTGCCCCGTGTCTCAAAGACAAGGATGGCGTTGCCTGAGACGCCATCCTGGCACGGAAGCACCGCAACAAAACCACACACAACCTTTTAAACACCAAAGAAAGCAAGAAAAGTTGAAAAGAGTTATCTGAAGAACTTTTCCACCTCCAGAAAACAAACTTTATCCACCACTCTCACGGCGCTCCACCACCGTGCTCCGAGAGAGAGAGACACAGACACAGACACACACACAGACACAGACACAGACACAGACACAGACACAGACACACACACACACACACACACACACACACACACACACACACACACACGCACACACACGGTAAAATGAGATTTTAGAGTAAAGCTGCTATCTTAAAGACCTCTGACATTAACTGACGTTTGATTTGTCTAATTATCTTTTATTTCCAGCAGCTTTTTGAACCAAAACTTGTATTTGTGTTGAAGTACTCACACCGTTGGTTACCACATCTGGATTTTATTTATTACATACTTTTTTCACATAAGTCTTCTAAAAATCCAGTAACAATTTGATAATGGCTGAATTATTGGAAAGCATGATGAGTTTGAACAGTTTATCCTTCTAGTGTTGTACCATTTAGATCACATCATAAAACAGTATTTACATTTATGGAAATATCTACTCCTCCATTTAGATTTTTTGTGACAGTTTGCTGATTGAAATGAGACGCATGCATGTTTATCTCCTGCAGGTGATCCTGAGTGGAAGTGAAAACCAATACGTTCTCACAGATCTAAGTCCCTCTACGGAATACGAAGTCTTGCTGACGGCCGTTTTCACAGACGAATCGGAGAGCGACGCCGTCTCTGTCATAGCAACCACACGTAAGTCTTATTAGCCTGATCGGAAATGTGGAAAATCTAAAAACTATCTTTGGTTTCCCTTCGAAATCAGTAAAGCTGTGATTAGAAAAAAAGCCATCCCTTGAAAGGTTTCTTCTCCAGTTTGCTTATTATGAGAAAAGTTATTATTTTAGACACATTCTAGTAAAGGCCTTAACTTGAAACCTGCTCGTGACCTGCTGCTTCCATGCCAGATTGTTAAATGGGAAACAAGGAGTAGGCATTTTGGTCAAATTTTAACTTAAAATCATTTTATTTGCGTGAAATCTTACATGACATGTAAGATTCTACGCTATTAAGACTAAAAACACAAAATCTTGTGTTGATTTTTAGCCTTTTTGTGCTTTCCAAAAGTTAATAAAAAATACTTTCTCACAAACACAAATACAAAGATGCAAAGACAGGCAAAAACATCACAGCCAGCCTTCGGCTTGTGGGTCATACTAGTCTGCATGTTGAGCCAAAGCCACTGAGATATTCTGACTGATTTGTTTGTCCTTGCTTATCGTTGATGAAAGAAAAATCTTTTTAATCATCAGTCATTTTCAGACATCTTTCTCTAATCGGCTCCGTTGCTTTTGCAGAATGTCGTTTAACAAAGTTTGTATCAGATTTGTTCTCGCTGCCTTTCCTCAGTGGCTAAAACGACGACTGCTACAGGTGAGAAGTTTCCAAATTCCAAATGATCAGGAGTGAGAACGTTTGTAGCGCCCACGTTTTACATGCGTGAGAATAGCCAGAAACTGATCTGGCAAGCGGTGACTCAACACAATGTCTCAAGTTAACTAAAATGTGTAAGATAATCCTTCTTCCTTTATTTTTTTTTCAATCTTCAGGGAGGTGAAAATGTGGGAGCCTTCATTTTAATAATCCTTCCAGCGCGTATCCAGTAGGCAAAAGGCTAATTTCACTTTTTCTCAGAAAAATTATCCTTGCAGAGAGACCGGCCAATTTTAATCATGGCTCCAGCCAAAGTATCTGTCCAGGAAGTCTATAGCCATTAAACTTTGAAAGGCCCCAGCGCTCCCAGGACAGGCGGATGCTGCCAAGGTGCAACTGTAGCTCTGCAAAGTACATGTTTCTGTTTTGGCCGTTTATCCTCTAGTTGTAAGAACTAAAATAACGTATACAGTCCAAACTATGACTGATTGGTTCAAAACAGTTTATGAGAAAGCCATTATGACCTCTTGCGTTATTAAAGATCTGTTCACTGATCTGACCTATTCGCAGTTGAAACTCCTTAAACTCAGAGCTAACCTGAAGGCCGTTTGAACTCATTTGTTCTCATGAGAAGCTTTTAGACTTTTAAAAGTGTGGGACACTTGAAACATTTTTTATTATTTCTGATTATAATGGTTCACTCTGGGATTTTCACATGAAAATAATCTCCTACACCTATCTCCTGCATTAGCTTCTGATAGAAAACAGACGGTGAAAGAGTTAGAAAATCCTGACAGATCCACGTCCCACTGTCACTGAACATTCATGGACTCGCCCATCTTGGCTCGCGACGGAAAAGGTTGTTGGTTTATCATCCAGGAAACAGCAGAGAATGTCTCAGCTCGTAGAGGCTAACTGTTAGCATTAGCAACTCTACCACACAGCAGAACTCCTCCAGGCTTGTGTTATTTGTGGTAGAGTCGTGTTGCTGTTGTCTGAGGCGAGATGTTCAAGTATCAGGAAATAAGACTCCAAATTCTGCCGTCTCGGTCACGAGCTGAACTCAGAAGACCCGTAATGACGCCAAACACAGTAAAGATATATAAAAACAAAGGTCTTTTATTTATTGTGGAGTTACCAGGTGGGTGAGGCTGGAGACAGAGTAGGAGAGGAGACGAGGGTCAAAACCAGATAGATCCGTGAATGCTACAATGAGCAGGCAGGAGGCAGAATCCAGAGAATGGGCTGAGGTCGAGACTCCAGGTAGTCAGAGGCAGAGAAAACAATCCAGGCAGGGAGCAGGCACTTGGGTTGGCCAAGGAACAGAAACGAGGTCAGGATCTAAGGTACAGGCAGAGGCTGGAGAATTTACTGGCCCGAAGTCTTCAATAATCTGGCAGAGACTGGATAGGTGGATGGTTCTTTTATAGCAGGGGAAGCAGGTGTGAGTAATGAGCTGAGGAGTCAGATGCAGGTGAAGTGGATGAAGGCTGATTACAGGAACAGGTGAGATGAATGAAGTTGATTGTGATGCTGACTGAGGTTGCTAGGGAAAACAGGGCTTGGCTGGAGCTTGGTGAAGGGACAGGTGAGCTGAATGAAGAGTAAATGAGGAGGCAGAGGAGGGTGAAGGATGGGAGTCATGACAGTCTCATCTAGCCGACTTGTGCCTCCTGATTCTGGTGCATCTGAGCTTCATCCCCCTACTCGTGCGTACAACTTACAAAGCATTCATTCTTGTTAGAGACTGCTGCAAATGTATTTTTTAAACAAGTATTCCACACCTTTAAATGATCTAATTTGTTGTTTTCTATTCTGACGTGTTTGTGATCACTTCTACTCGGAAGCAAACTGCCCCTAGGGAATAATACAGATTCCTGATCTTGACTCAAATCTGCTCTAATGAATTAACTGTTTGGGTCATTAAATTACCCAATTATGATGTTATCCGCTGAAACTGTAACCCCTCAGTTTTCCAAATAGTTTTCATAAATAAATGTGGCATTGACTCATGTGTGTTATGTCTCAGTGGCGCGTAAGGCTGTGAGAAACCTTTCCCTGACGGATGAGACCACCCAGAGCTTGGATGCATCTTGGGAGCTGGAAGACCCCAATGTGGACAGCTACAGGATTTCCTATGTCAGCCTCAGTGGGAACCACAACAAGGAGGCTGTGAGTTGATCGAGTTTTTATTACAAGAAATGGATTTTGAAGTGTTTCTATGTAAATGATTACACGCTGTGGACAACTTCCAGAATGACCTCTGTTCTGAGAAACAGGGTTTGCATCCTTCAGGACTGATGAGACAATGGCTAGTCCAAATGCTATAAAGAACTGTATATTTATTTATTTATTTATTTTTATTATCCCCAGGCTTTAAAACCTCATAGTGGTTCATATGAAGTTGTTTAATAACGCTGTCAACTTTGCATTATTACATGGGTATTTACATTGAAAGTTATGGTTATTTACAATGGTCCGACCATGGTCTTGAGTCGGAAAAGGGTAGAAGGCCTTCTCCAGGTCAAGCATGAGGTCCTGCCCCAAGTGGAAGTGTTAAAGTATCTCGGAATCTTGTCCATGAATGAGGGAAAGGTAGAGCACGAGATTGAAAAGGGGGATTGGTGCTTTGCCTGCAGGGATGTGGGTGTTGTACAGGTTTGTGGCGAAGAGAGATCAGGGGTCTCATTTATCAAACATAGCGTAGAATCCTTACTAAAACCTTACTTAAGCTCAGAAAAAAAATGTACTTACGCCAAGTAGGTTTGTGATCTATCAAACATGGAGTACGCACAGCTGCACGCAATCTCCTCTTCATAAATCAGAAACTATCTAGAAAGGTTCTCAGCTGCTTTTTAGTCACATCCTGCCCTCACCACTCCCACTTTCTGCCATAAATGGTCAATGCAAAGTGCCTTGTGGATCTCATGCATATACATAAGTCGGCTTGTTGCAGCATTTCGATCACGACCGCAGATCAAGGAAGTGCTATTTCACAAGCAGAAATTCAGGTACTTGTGGGTGAGGTGGAGAAATGAAAGGAAGTGCTTTTGTAAAATAAATAAGAGAAAATCCACGGAGTGGCACAGCGTTGCTGAAGCCATCTTCAGCTGAGTTCTTCAGAGAGATCTGTGGCGGATATAAAAGAAAATGATCCAATCAGGATTTGATCCCCCAGACTCCCAGGTGAAAGTCACACACACTAACCAGTCACCCAAACAAAGAACTCCCTTGTCCAAGTAGCCAGGGCGCATGATCAATCGGGTCACAGTGACAGGACACACACTGTCTCAGACGCATGACATTTTGTCTCAATCTGTCCCCCTGCTGATTTTCTGCATTCTGTAATCTGCGCTGCAGGCTGTGTGTGAGTGTGTGTGCGAGCGCGTGTGTGTGGGCGGGTGGGCGGGGGGCGGGGGGGTGGGGGGTGTTCTTGTTCTGTGTGAAAACGAAGCAGTACAAGTGATAATGCTGCAGGATTTCATAACTTTATCCTTCTCAGCAGCAGCACTGCAGGTGCTCTCCATGTCCAACATGTGTATAAGCCAGGTCCTTAGTCAACTTAAAGTTGTGCACATTTTCCTGTTAAGTTATCTTTCATAAATCCCAAAGTTTGCGTGGAAAGTTGCTTACGCAGTTTTCCGACCCCGTTTTGTGCGTAAGCAAGCTTGATAAATGAGGCCCCTGAGCTGGAAAGCAAAGCTCTCCATTTACTGTTCGATCTACGTCCCAACTATTACCTATGGTTACCAGATTTGGGTAGTGACTTAAAACACAAGATTGTGGATACAAGCGGCCAAATTGTGTTTTCTCCGCAGAGTGTCTGGGCTCTCCCTTAGAGATAGGGTGAAAAGCTCAGTCATCTGGGAGGGGCTCAGAGTAGATCCGCTGCTTTTCCACACCAAGAAGAGCCAGTTGAGGTGGCCTTGAACAGGATGCCTCCTGGACGCCTCCCTGGTGATGTTTTCCAGGCAATTCCAACTGGGAGGAGACCCAAAGGAAGACCCAGGAGACACAGGAGGGACTATGTCTCTTGGCTGGTCAGGGAACACTTTAGGATTCTCTCAGAGGAACTGGCCCAAGCGGCTGTGGGGAAGGAAGTCTGGACCTCCCTGCTTAGGCTTCTGCCCCATGACCTAACCTCGGATAAGCGGACGGTAATGGATAGAAGGATGGTTATTTACAAGCGTAAACATCACCAAATCCAGCAGCTTCTTATTTCTGCAGAAATCGCTGTGCAATATGAAATTGACGCTGGATGATGTCGCATGATTTGGTCTAAGAGTTAAACTTAAGTTGTGTGGACATTTTTACTTCCTTACAGGCTTCATTATCATCTTCTTGATTCAGGGGCGTCTCGGCTAGTAGAAGCTAACCGTTAACATTAACAACTGCACCACAGCGCAGAAGCTCCTCCAGCCTTGTGTTATTTGTAGAGATAAATTATCAGTGCTGCAAGTCAGTGGAGTCAAGTTGCTGTTATCCAGTCCAGGGCAAGGTGTCCAAATATCAGGAAATAAGACTCCAAAACCTGCCATCTGAAGCTCAGCTGTGACGTGGCTCACTTCTAGTTCCTAGAAATGGCGCATCGGTATTCTCCCCAAGAATGACTTACAAATAATTCAGTCCTACTAGTTACCTCTGCAAATACTCTGATTAAACGAGTAAACCACTCCTTTAAATATTTGATCATGAAGAGGCTATAAAACTATGTGGATCCACAAAATCAAAACCCGGAAAGAAAGGATCAGGTGTATTTTTACTTCTAAAGGTGAGCTTCACAAACCATTTTTACTAGTTATTTTCTTTATTTGCGATCACTCTGAGTCACTCGGAGTGTCACACACGGGCTGAACATGAATAAAGTCTTCTACCCCTATTTCCTGCATTAACTGCCAATAGAAAACAGACAGGAAAACACTCTGAATAGAAAAGCAAGTCAATTTAACGTCACATTGTCCAAGTGGCTTTCATAGACTCACCAATCTTAGAAAGCCAATAACACCTAAAGCATAAAGACATTCACATTTGTGGAGATAAAACATCAATGTAGCTTTTTTTTTACCCCCAAAAGAAGAGTGAACGAAAGCAGTGGAAGAGTCACATTGCCGTTAGCCAATTAGAGAGGAGATGTTTGCATATCATGAATATTAATGATTAAAGCCGGTTTCAAGCCGGTTTCCCACTGCAAGCATCAGCGGAACGGAGCGGCAGCGAAGCTGCACCGCTTCAAATAGAATCCAATTAAAGTCTATGGAGTGTTTCAAACCAGCCGCGGCGCGGCAATTTCCAGGCGCGTCCCAGAAACGGAATGCCGCGCCGCTGAAGGTAGGATCGAGTTCTATTTGTTCCGCGAGCCGCTTCTGGGACACGTAAATTACCGCAGTTCGCATAGTGCGAGACAGGAAACCACACAGTTTCAGTGGAAAATCCCCAGTTATTTTCAAAATAAAATGCAACTTTGCGATGTTATATATAACTTAAGTCAGTACGTGTGACCGAACGGCTTTGTTTATCATCTGTTTCTTTGGAGAAGTGCAACGGTGTGATTCCTCGTGGAGGTTGTGATCTTTCGATGAGGAAGGTGTCGGACATCTCGAGGGATTTTAGAATCTCGCGAGTACAGCGAGGCGCAGCGAGGAAGCCGTGCCGCGGCCAAGACTCTCCCGGTGTGAAAAGGACCGCTTTGAAGTTTGCGAGTGAGCCACTCTGCTGGTGTTCCGTTCCGCTGATGTTTGCGGTGTGAGACCGTGGTAAGACTCCAAATCCTGCTGCAGTCAGTATTATGGCTTTGCAAAACTTTAAGAGCTAATTCATCTATTTGACTAAGGGAAACAACTGAAACGTGCAGGACAGATGTCCTGAAATACCAGACTACATGTACAAAAACACAAACTCCCCTGGGTGAACTGTGAAGACTGATTATGCGGAACAGAGTTTATTGAAGTTGTGCTCAGAGGAAGATCTTTATAATTTCAGATGAGAGGGATCTCAGTGGTCAGTATTGGGTCATCCTCTACAGCCAGAATACAGATTACACCTTCGGTCGCGGTCCACCCAGCATCTCCTTCCTGATTCCTCTATCTCATCTAAGAGCCCTCGAGCTCAGGGCCATGCACTGAGCCTGATCACTAATGCACACCCAAACCCGTCGACCTCCCCTCCTGGTCCTCTGCTCCTCTCCCTTGTGGCCCTTTCTCCGCAGCCTCTTTCTTTCTTTTAATTTCCCAACGTGGTGTCAGAGCCACAATGGATGGAGAGGCCGGGCAAGGGCAGCAGACATACCATTATCTTTTCAGTAGCCATTTAGCTCAGTAGGAGCAGACAGGGGAGAGGGCTGGGAAGTGAGTTCAAACAAAAATAAAACAAAAAAACTGGTGCAAAAAGAAGCAAACGCTAGGTAAAATAAAAGGAATGTTTAAAATGTCTGCTGAGTGATAAATAAATGCTGCTTCAGGTCACACCTCTTAACGTTTGCACTTCTTTGATGTGAACGTGTGTGAGACATGCTAAGGTTTTACAGCTACAATGGCCAATGTGCAAACAAGCTAGCTTAAAACATCTTTTTCGTGCCTCTTAACAATGTTCTGATATAATCTAGCTATAAAAACGTAGTGGAGGTAGAAAATAAATAAATTTGTTAATTAACTAGGTGGATCTATTGCATTTATCTCAAAACACAGCTCATTCTGAAACCAACAATTGGACCATCTGGTTGTCTGTGTCACCGAACCACTGCACATCTGCATTTACCTGGGTCCTCCACTCGTTATGTTCTCATGCATTTAGTAACAGAACACCACTGGTGTGAGAGGATCTCTGCTCAAAACTATCAGAGGAGGGGAAACAGCCGGCTGTTACCTCTTCACCTTTAGAGCAAACTACCAGGGTCCCAAAAAGAAAAACACCATTTGAAGTCACGGACAACAAAAGATGTTTGGACCTGAAAAATGACAACTGGTGTTTAGAGCTTTTTCGTTTACTGTGGAAATGCGTTTTCTCAAGTCCGATGGGCGTGGCCTAAGGAATCAAACAGTTTAAAAACAAAAGCTTATTTAGCATATTTGCCATTGCAGCATTAAAATTGGACATCTTGTATCAGTGTGGTAGTAAGTGCACCAGATTTTACGTTGAAATACTTTTTTTTTTACTACTTTATCTCACATTCCTTTCCCTTTGAAAACCAGAAACACTCATTCAAACACCCAGGTTGCGTTCCTCATTCAATATGCACCACCTTGGACAGATTTTTCAGCAAAAAGATTTCACTGCAACACTGACAATCAGTCAGTTTTCTTTGACTACATTTGCCAAATGGCATTGAAAGTATAAGGGATTTGTCTGCTTATGAGAGCTGTAGTTCTGCCTTACCTCAGCACAGTGGATTGCATGTTTGACTGATTTTTACAGGATACAAACAAGGACAAGACAATTTTCTGCCTCTGTCTTCAATTTCTCTCTCATTCTTGCACACAGATGTTTGTGATCTATACAATCAGAGGAGCTATTATTTGGTTTATGCATCTGCGTCATCTCAACGTTTGTTTCTGAATGCACTTAGTCAGGAACTGAGAGGAATGTAAAAAGTGTCAGGCATATTTATTAAATCAACCTTTACTTTTTAGGTTATAAAGTTAGAAGTCACAGAAAGTGTGACACACATCTGGGAAGGGCTGCTGAACAAAATGAGAATGAAATGGATATTATTACCCTGAAATATTATTATTATTATTATTATGAAACATGTTTTCTTTGAATTTTCCTTAAAGGTATAAAGGGAGTGTGGGTGAGTGGATGACTAGTGTGACTGTAGAGGTCTGAAAAAAGAGAATTTTTACTTGGGTGACGAAGAGAAAAAGGCCTTTATTGTGCCTGAGTTCAGTAAGGGATGCTCACTGGGCTCTAATTCTGATGTCGTATTATCAAGCTGTGACCTGGGGACCGTTTGCAGGGTGCTGCCAGTGGATCTGATTTTAAAAGGTTTATGTGTACATGAATGATGGAAGAATGGATGAAAACGGTGCTTCCAAAGCCTCCCAGTAAGACTCCCTGAAAGAAGCAACTGACGTGTTTTCTCTGCTTTTCTTCATCTCGTTTCTAGCTTCAGCTAAATCTGTTCAATAATCTGAGATCAGGTTAAAGTGGTCAGAAGTAACTAGAGCTGTCTCCAAAGTTTCTGTCACGCCAGCAGAGGAAAAAAGTGTTTGTGTGTGTGTGTGTGTGTGTGTGTGTGTGTGTGTGTGTGTGTGTGTGTGTGTGTGTGTGTGTGTGTGTGTGTGTGTGTGTGTGTGTGTGTGTGTGTGTGTGTGTGTGTGTGTGTGTGTGTGTGTGTGTGTGTGTGTAGGTGTCAGTTGGTGGTGATCAGAAACGTGCGGTTCTCCAGCCTTTAAAACCGGACACCCAGTATAGAGTGACAGTCACACCAGTGTACAGAGATGGACAAGATGGCACAAATGTTTCTGCTGTGGGTTCAACATGTAAGTGCACACACACACACACACACACACACACACACACACACACACACACACACACACACACACACACACACAGGAAGAGAAAGTTAATTTGCGTCGCATAATTTCATGTTAATTTATGTTCATGATGGAAAAACTGACTTAATGTGACGACAAATACTGCCGTCTTCCAAACGGTCCTAATGAGAGCTGCTTATTATAACAGCAGCTCCTTAATTAATGAAATGATTAAATGATTTTGCTCAGCTCTAATTGATTTTCTCAGCTCTTCTGCCGTCTCATATGACCAGTAGTGTTTTCCCCCTCACTGCAAAGACAGGTTAAATCTGTCACCTTTACAGATGATAGCACCTTGGTTAAACACAAAAAAAAAAAACAGAGAGAACCCTCTAGATATGATGGGCAGTGGAGAGACATTTCAATCAGACAATAGTTTAAGGTGATTTTTAGGTTTTGAGGGTAAAAATCACTTTTAAGCATAAAGAGCTACTTTTGAGCTATTTTATTGCCTTATTTTACTGAAACCTGAATTCATTAAAAGATTATACATTATTTAAACAGGGGTTTGTCGCTCCATGCTAATGAAGATTTTCAACTTCAACTGACGCTGCCAACAAAAAAGCATTTCTCAGTGTTTGCACACTTTTAAATGCATCAAAAATCAATCCCACAGAGAATGTAGTTTTTACAAAAACTGACCACAAGTCTTGTCTTTGGTTGCGCCGAGTGTAAAAGAGGGGTTTGACCCTTAGGGAGAGAGAGGAAGTGCAAAAAGGTAAAATCAATGACACATTTTTTCGTTTAACAATTAAAGCTAAGAAAACTGCCCAGTAACCACAACATGTTGGTTGTAGATGCAGATGCGTAGACGTGCAGACCAGGATGCAAACTCTTCCTGTTAAACCAGTTAAAGCATTTTCCCCGTCCGTTAAGGTCCATGAAGTGACTCTCATGGGAAAATGTATTTTCTTTCCCTCTGTCACTTTTGCTGTGTTTGTGACAGAGGTCTATCTCTGGGTACCGTTGGGAAGAAGATCTAATGCAAAATGGATCCATTCACCTGCTGAATCTGTTGCTGAGAAGGAGCACACACAGTTAGTTCAAGTGATGAGCAAAACGTGCAGCACGTTGTTAGTGAATCTGGGTCTACCTCTCCACAGCTCTCTCTGGATTATGAAGCTTCGGTTTGCAGGGTTTTGTGCAAACAGATAAAATCTGTTAATTTACAAACACACATCAATCTTACGTGGAACCACGTCCACCTGTTTCTTGCTTGTGTTGAATCTCCATAATATATTTATAACTGTGTTAGATTGTTAATAGGCATGCAAAAAAGTGTTTTAGGCTAATTTGTTTTCCAACTTTGCTATAACAGCTTTAAAATCGTTGCTTCTGCACAGCTTGAAAAAGCAGATTTTAAAAGCCTCTTTAGCCCCAAATCATTTAGTGTTCACTCAGATGTAAATGTCAATCAGGTTAAACTTTCACAAAATCCCCCATCTTCTAATCCTTGGCCTGCTTTGGCAGTCCCACTCCTGACAGCCGAAAACCTCCGTGTGTCAGAGGAGTCGTACAACCGCTTCAGGGTCTCTTGGGATCCACCTCAGGCTCCTACTGTGGGCTACAGGATTGTCTACCAGCCTGTCTATGGTACGCACACACACACACACACACACACACACACACACGCACGCACACACACACACACACACACACACACACACACACACACACACACACACACTTGTGTAATTTCACATTAGTTCTAAAACAATTATTTCTATAATCATAGAAAACAGACGTTTTATTTTATTTTCTACTTTAAATGTCACAAGATGCTGCTGTTAGGACATGTGTGTGTGTTTATCCTTGCGACTCAAGCTTTTCCAAACACTAATGTGCTTGTTACAGGAGGATCTGCCTGTCACACACCTGTCACAGCCACACAACTGCTTTTAACCTTTTCTAAGCTTTAGGGAAAATATCAGCACTGCAGAGCTGAAATAGGACTTCTCCCATCCTCGTTTATTTTCTCACTTTTTTTTTAGATGTCATTGACACCGTTCTGCTCCATCTCTGGAGCCAATTGTTTCTCCAAGACAAGGCTTTGATCTTTCAGTTTCCAGGTGTTTTTCCTCACCTAAACACACTTTTTGTTCCTCAGAGAATCCTGCTTCATTTTAATGGGCTGAATTAGACAAAAAAAGAGCTTTTTTACTCTGACAGTCAGGAAAAAGTCTCTGCACACACATCCTACACAAACTTAGTTACTTTTTATTTATGGTAAACATAGACCTTTATTAGGGTATTTTAGCAAACACATACATAGGATTTATTGGCAGAAAAAATCTGAAAAATGGACAAATATAATCTCTGTATTAAATTCCATTCTAGTTGGTAGGTAATCTTGACTTTACTGTAAACATCTTACACTAAAAGGAGCGTGGGGCAGGATGAAGAAATGAAACTCATAAGCAACGTTCTGTTTGGTTTATGTTTCATCACCCTTTAGCTTTCATAAAACAAACATGCATGAATATTATTTTTTCTGCTCATTTCTTTACAAATCCTGCCCCATGCTCCTTTAAGTATTTGTTTAGAAAAGCAACTGTTCTGCAGCTATGTTTATGTTTTGGTTTTGCTTCAGTAGCCTGAGTGATGCAGGACATTTTCTTTCATTACAATAATCCTCAGTTCTATTAATTGCATTCAGCGATGAAAACAAACATTTGTGACACGTTTTAAGACATTTCCCACATTTATAAGGAAAACAACCTGTTGTTTCCTGTACTTCTAAATGTATCTGTGTTTTGTTTCTTCGCTTTAGCTCGAGGTTCAGTTTTGGAGACGACAGTGGGCGAAGATGTGAACTCCATTCTTCTTCTAAACCTGCTGAGTGGGACCGAGTACAACGTCCAAGTGACAGCGTCCTATCCTGCAGGACAGAGTGAACCGATGCTGATTAATGCAAAGACATGTAAGCACTTTTACCATCATGACTATTGACTCAAAGCAAAATAATTAAACTTTTGTTTTTACAAAAATAAAACAGCTTTTTCTACAATGTGGAAAAATTCTCTTTGCAGAATCTGATAAACCTGAAATTAAGCATCCTTACAGGGAGCAGATACTTGATCATACGTAGCGGATGAAAACACCAGCATGGCTGGATTAAATAATCTGATGAAAGCAGATACATGTGTAGCACATCCAATAGGGTGACTACAGGGTAATCTGCAATAGCTGTGTTCTGCTATTGTCTGGACCAGTAAAGTTCACCAAGTTCAGCTGCTGGAGCAATTATAGGTTGAGGACCTAAACGAAACATGAAATAAGACCACAGACCGGAATAGAAATTTAAACTGCCGGCTTATTATTTGAACAACACACGTGGACATGAAACATCACAGACAACAATAACCATTTTCCTACTCAAATACCCAAATCTCACTCTATTTGGTTGTAGTAGGTTATTTTTCAGCCACTCTTTCCTTATTAAACCTATAGTTAGACTTAATTGTTTGCTTGTGGGAATACGTTGCAACCTTTTAAGAAGTTCCAAATCGATTTATCAAGTATTTAACTTCCCTTTAACTTAGTTAGCCTAGTTGAGACTAAATCATTTTATTCTTTGGATTAAAGTTAACTCGCCGCAGGAAAAACATATACACTCACTTCAGTGATATACAATAAACTAACAGTGGTATACAACTCAAAAGAATCCAGCAAAAGACTGGGTCAATCTGTGTATTACAGTGTCAAAGTCAGTTTTTTTTTCATCAGTTGTGAAACAGCTGTTCCAGTTTTACATCGAGTGAAATGATAGTTCCGGTTTTATACCAAGTCCTTCTGCTTTTTATTTATTTTATTTTATTTTTTGAATGTTTACCGTGTCCTGTCTGGCTGTGAAGCAAACAGAACTGATGTCTGAATGCTGGTAACAAGCCTTACAGATTTACTCTCAGGTGGAGCATCAAAGCGCCTGCTTTTAATGTCACGCCTCATACTTAAAAGTTTATTGTTATTGTTTTTGAATGCTTTTTAATTCCGACCAGACACGGAGACAGAGGTGAAAGAGAAAGGAAGAGACGGGGGGGGGGGGGGGGGGGGGGGGGGGGGGGGTTCCACAACAATAATAATGAACAAGAGTCTGCTTCTAGACCTGCAGAAAGTGAGAGGAAAAACATGGGGCACAACAATACAAGATCTAGCTATCACTGCGTCAACTTGATGAAGAAATATATAATCAACATTGTTTAACTGAACAGTCACACGATAATGAATCACTGTGCATTAAGTGCCCACCATAGTCTTACGACATGTGTTGAACGTGCCCAAGTCCATACTTATGAGAGCACCATGTGAGCTCCTGTGTGTGTACACGCGCTTGTTTATGTAAGGTTTCTCTATAGGAGCGTCCAACAGAGAGTGTGAGGGACCACAGATCTGCCCCCCAAAGATGTGTAGGAGACGGATGGAGCTCCAAGTCCCAGAGATCAGGAGCTGCCCCAGAGCTCAGGAACTCCAAGGAGACTGCAACCAGAAAAGCCCCCGTCCCCCTTGACAGGCGCAGAGGATCGCCCCGGGGGGGCCACAACCAGCAGCCGGCAGAGTCCCAGGAGATATCGGCGGCAAGCCCACAGGCCCGCCCGCAGCTTTCCACCCCCTGGCCGGCCGAGCCCAGGGACCCAGACCCCACCAGGCAGCCACCGGGATTGGTCAGGCAAATGCCAAAAATCTTAAACTCCCTGACCCAGGAGCCACGGCCCAGGCAGACCAAGGCACTGCACTCCACACCAGGTGTGGCAGGGAGAGGGGAGATGAAGATCTTTATCATTAAAAGAAGTCCCAGGAGAAGAGAGGAGTCAAAGGCCCCAACTGACATATACAGTCATACACAAACACAGTCACACACTCCCTCCCTCATGCTCACACATGCACATACAACCAAAGACTTAAAAAAATGCACGCCGGACACCCTCTCATACTCCCCATACACACCCTATTCATTGGTCCCGGTACTGCTGCACATGGGGTACAACCATTACCGCTTCCCAGAGTTCAACCCTTTCTGCTGGGGTGCTGATAAGCAGGCTCCCCCGCCCAACGCTGAGAACAACAACCCACCACCCCAGACCCCAACCGGACGGCTGGATCTCCCTCCTAGCCTCCAGCCCCAGGAAGCCAAGCGGCAACAGAGGTGTGCTAAGACCCCTAAGTCTCTCTCCGCCTGCTCCAATATGAGGTTAGTGTGTGTTGATGAGGTGTATTCCATGGCTGTGGTGAGCGGGCAGTGCAGGCATCGTCTGGCCTATTTCAGCTGATGCCACCGCACCACCCCACTTGCACCCACAGCCCTCAGTGTCTAAGTGCAGTTTAAAATTGGAAGTGGGCACCGGCACTTGGGATGAGGTTGAGAAATTCCCCTGCCAAATGCCGTTGAATGTGCTCACTCCCAAGGCCCTAAGTGTGTGTTTGCATGGAATGTCGTCAGTGGAAGTGTATAAGGTGCAAATTAAATTGGGGGCTGGTTGCCACAGGAATGTGGAAATGGGTCCATACCTGCACTCCCTGACTTGTCCACCCCCCATGGTCCTATGTGCATGTTTGTGTGATGATGTGAGAGAGCAGGAGGAGAGAAATGTGTGGGGATGGGGAGGAATGGCTGGTTGCGCTTAGCCCTCCAGGGAGCCAGCTCCCCACTGGCCCCAATAGGCACCTCTGTTGTCAAAATGCCACCCAGAGCATGGAGACTCCAGCCCATCCTGCCAGGACCCAAAGCAGCAGCATCACAGAGCCTCACGGAGTCCGAGGGCACCAACCCAGCCCCACCCCAGCAGAATATATATGCCCATCCCTGCATTTGCACAACTTCCGGATTATAAAAGACATAGGACATCCAGGTAAGGTTGGGTCCTCCCCCTCCTGGACTTCCCCCTCCCCTGTGATGGGACAGCAGATGAGCCAAGGTCTACCTGAGGCCCCTGAACTCGAGTCAGGCACTGCTGCTTGTTCCTGCCTTCTCCCCGGTAGCATACATGTCAGGACCCGACCCCCATGGCCCCGCTCAGATCCCCCCATGGGTGAGGCCACCCCCACACCCCGAGCCCCCAGGCCCCCACCCAGACCCACCCATGGCCACCGCCAAGACCTCCAAGGGGCCCCACTCACAACCGCCAGCAGTCCACCCCCCAAGGCAACCCAGGCACCTCCATACACATGATTTGTTAAAGGAAAACTTACAAAATAATTAAATAGTAATTGAAATTTGAGTTTTCAGACAAATTTTCATAGTGATGCATTCTCTTAATAAATCACACAAAACTAGATGGTACTAGTAGTAAAAAGTATCGGTATTGGTGTCGGCAATACAGGCCCAGTATTTACTTGGTATTGGATCGATACCAAATTTTGCACTCTTACAGCACTTCGTAGCGGGCCCCCGGTCCGGGCTTGGGAGAGGCCCGCCCCTGCAATGAGGCGGATGAGAGGGAATGGCGCCTCTATTCTATCGTCTATTTTGGACAGTGTCTTATATACTTTAGACAGTAGTTTGGGGGGTTTGAGATTATAGAAGTGTAATACCTTGGTGGTGTTTGTAATTCTATTTTATTGAGCTTAATTTTTTTGTTTGACTACAGATTTAATTTGGTGATATTCTAAAAAGCTATTCTTATCTATTCCAAATTGGGAGACTATTCTATTAAATGGGATGATGTCCAGTCCTTCATACATGTGTTCCAGGTAAAGGATTCTTTTACTTTTTCAGTCTGGAAGGTTCATCATTTTGTTATTTAGCAAAATACCAGGATTAATCCAGATAGGTGTGCGTCTGCATGGTACTAGTGAAAACTCTGTCATTTTTAGATACTCCCACCATGCTGTCAGAGAGGTGCTGATACTAATACTTTTGAAGCCTTCATGTTTTCTTATGCTTGAGCTAATAAATGGTAGGTCTGAAAGCTCTATTGTATTGCAAAGTGTCTGTTCTATGTCTAACCAAGACTCATCTAGTGGATTATCTTGCAACCATCTTGGTATATATTGCAGCCTGTTGGCTAAGAAATAATAATAAAAGTTGGGTAGATCCAGTCCTCCTTTGTCTTTGGTCTTCTGAAGCGTTTTTAAGCTAATTCGTGGAGGTTTATCCTGCCAAAGGAATTTGGTAATTGAGGAGTCCAGAGATCTAAACCTTTCAGCTGGTGATTTGTTTGGGATCATTGAAAATAAGTAATTTATTCTGGGTAAGACCATCATTTTAATTGTAGCAACTCTCCCCATGAGTGATATCGGTAAGGATTTCCATCTTGCAAGATCATCTTCCACTTTCTTTAAAAGTGGGATGTAGTTTAGTTTGGTTAGATCTGCCAACTTGGGAGAGACATTAATTCCCAGGTATGTGATATTCCTTGACTCCAATTGTGTATTAAGTAAATTGAAAAATGAGAAATTAATTGGTAGAACTGTGGATTTTAACCAGTTTATAGAGTAATCTGAAACTCTTGAAAAAGAGTTTATCAGTTCTATTGAATGAGAGAGAGAGGATTGAGAATTCCGGAGAAAGAGTAAAACATCATCTGCATAAAGACTGATCTTATGTTCTATTTTCTTACACTTTATCCCTTTAATACCTGTTGTTTGCCTAATTGCTGCTGCTAGTGGTTCGATAAAGATAGCAAACAGTGAGGGGGAGAGTGGGCATCCCTGCCTGGTCCCCCTCTGAAGTCAGAAGCTAGTTGATATTTGGTCGTTCGTCCTGACACGTGCAGTTGGCGAACTGTATAATGTTTGTAGCCAGTTCATGAAGAAGTTCCCAAAACCAAATTTATGTAAAGTTGCAAATAAGAACTTCCAGTTAACTCTATCAAAAGCCTTTTCTGATAATATACTAATTTCTATGTTTCTACTGTAAGATAAATCTATCAAATTAAGTAATCTACGTGAGTTTGTGGATGACTGTCTACCCTTGATGAAACC